TCCAGGCAATCCCTGACCAGCTTAATTTTTATGTTCTTTTACTATTTGCAGTAGAAATAAGATTTGACAGCCAACTTCTGCCACTGGGCTGAGCTCTGAGGTTTCCTGCTGAGGGACGGGCTGTGTGCTGGGTATTTGGTTCCCTCTGTGGGAATATTGCTTTTGTTTTCATCTTTCACGGTGCTTTTTGATGTATAAATCCAGGCAGCTGCCATAGGAAAGCGATGCCAAAAAGGGATGTATTTCCCTATTCTTTCCCTTTCCAGTTGATATACTTCTTTTAGACCAAGTGATCTCAGCTGTCCTACTGCAGGAGGGTCTCCCAGTGTAGTAAGAGCTGATCATATACAAGCTCTAAAAAAACAGTTTGTCTCCTCCCTTTTAAAATTTGGGAGGTATTCTTATTAATTCTTGCAGTTCCCCCCTTGCTTTTCTTTCCTTTTTTTTTTTTTTTTTTTTTCTCTTGGAAGCTTAGGAGATTAAAGTGGAAGGAGCCTTCAGATGTAGGCAGGTTGGGGTCTCCTACTTTGGGAGGAATGCCCCCTGACTTTGGGAGGAAAGTCTCCTGACTTTCCACCACGGTGAAACAATTTTGCTTAGGGTCTCTGGAGCCTAGAACATGACTCTAGTAGTGCCATGTGTAGGGAAAGAGATAACAGAGCATCCTTGTTCCTAGTCCTTTTCAAACCAGATTAATTTTGCTCAGGGCAACGTCTTACCTTGGTGTCATCAGTCACCTGGGAATGTTTGGATAGGTTCTGTGAGGGACTCCACTCCCCAGGCCGTCCTTGTGTCCATCTAATGAAGCCCTGGCTCTTTCTATCCACAGGGAGGCTGTTGGGCACAGGGATTAGCATCAGTGCCATCAGCATTTCCTCTCTTTTTATCTCCAGCCAGGGCTGCCGAGGAGACGACACTGAAAAATAAGGCAAGGGATGACTTTAGACATGAACTGTGAAAGTGGATCAAGGAATGAACCCTTAACTCCCTCCTCCAGGTGGCAGGGGGGAAGGAGCAGTGGCCATACTGCATATAGCAGTATCTTCCCAAACCCTTAGTCCCTACAGAGGTAGAGCCAGGCTCCCACCTGGAGGGGTTTTCTCCTGGCTCCTGGAGGAGTCTCCTGGCTCCATGAGGCTCCATAGAGGTGTTTCACCTTCATTTCACTTTGAAATGAAAAGAAACCTAAATATTTGTTGGACACATCTCTTCTGAAGGAGGTTTGGGTTGGGATTGACCAAATTGTTGCCAGCTCTCCTTTTCCAGAGTATGGAAGGACCAGTCCCCTCTATTCCCTGCAGTAGGGTGGATTTCTCTTCCTTTGGAAAAAGCACCACCCTGGGAGGTGCTGGTCCCCACAAACTGGGTGGGGGGAGCAGCCTGTCTGCCAGGGACCTTCCCCAGGAGTTTTTTTCCCTTTTAAACAAAGTTCATCTTGGAAAGGAGTCAAGCATCTTGTATAAACAGCCTGGAGTCAGGATTTCTCCAGCACTCAGAAGGAAGCGTGGGGATGATTAAGAGGGGATTTTGTGTGTGAATGCATGTGGGTGCATGCCTTTGGCCTCTCTGAGCTGCTTCCTTGCTCTCTGTGATTCCTCCTTGCCTGCAGCCTCCCAAATCCTCCAGGTTCTGTCTGATGGGAGCATCTGCTCCTGAGGGTCAGCACTTGGGAGTGCCCCCGGCTCCTTAACCTCCCACCATGCCTTTGCCCTGGCATTGGCTTTGCATCAGCGAAACCTCCCTGAGAACAAGCTCCAAGCTAGGCTCTTCCTTAAAAGCCCCTTTTTGTCATTAGGGAGGATGGCTTGTAGCAGCTCCGTCCCCTCCCAGGCCGCTCGGCGGGTGCGCGAGGCCAGTGCAGCACATCCAGTGCTCAGCAGCTGGAAGGGCCAGGTCAGGTCTGGTTTCCATGGACGAGCAGGTTGTGGGTGGTCAGCATGAACACGTGGGGATGGGAATGCATGGGGAGAGGGACAGCGATGGAGAGACCTGTGAGGATCTGCGGAGGCACATGGGAAATTGGTGCCCTACATCTCCACCAGACTTGTGGAGTTCACAGGCTCCTTTAGGGGAGCCCTCCAAGTAACCCCCTCTCCCAGCTATTTGCGCTCAGAGCCTTCAAGGTTTGGGCTGTCGTTATTTTTTTAATTAAAACTGAGTCTGTTGAGTGCAGGGGAAGTCTTAAATCAGGCATATCTCTCACCTCCAGACAGTCAGAGTGCACCTGGAAAAGCCAAGTTCCAGCTGCACAAGTCCCAGAGAAAAAGGCTGTTTTGCTTTGCTCCAGCTGTTCTGGGAGGCAGCTTCTTCACGAGGAAAAAAAATCCCCCCAGCCCTTCCCATCCCATCCTCAGGCCTCTCCACATCTGAGGGCCGAGGCTGCTGTGTGGTCTCAGGGTGGGATGGATCCCTGGAGCATCCCTCTGGCTCTGCTGCCTTTCCAGCTAAACCCGCTCACAGCAGCCAGATTAGAAGGACTCATGGGCAGGGGGAAGCAGTCACACCCAAAATATTCATCTCCCTTCGTGGATACTCTCCAGCTGCATTTTTCCCACCTTGCCTTCCCTCATGGGATGGGGGGGGCAGGCAGCCCCAACTTGCTCCCTGGCACCTTAGGATCCAGGGCTCCGTATTGTCTGTCCCCAAGTTATCACCAAAGCATAAACACATCTCGGTCCATCTCCTACCAACTCTGCCTTCTCCTCCCTGCCCTCTCTCACCATGGTTTGTCCTTGTCCTCTCCCGCTGTGGTACTCATGGTCCTTCCATGCCTCCACCTTCCTGTCACCTGGCAACCCCAGCATTCTGGGGTGTCCGACTGCCTTTCCTCCTCATCTTCCCTTCCATCCTTCCATTTTCTCTCTCTCTCCAACATTTCATCTCTCCGTCTGCCCTGGGATTGGGCTGATATTTGCTGCACTAAATTCGGCCTCGGTGATCCACCCTCTTCCCTCCCTGTTGGTAAACAGTTTTGCCTCTCCGGCTGACGCCTCACACTGGGAGAGCTCTGCCTCCAGCTGCTCTGCAGCTCAGGAGATCCCTGCCACTTTTTAGTTGGTGCTTCCTTACTCCAGAGACTTCAGCAGGATCTGGCCATAGATGCAGGAACAAAAATTAATGTTCTCAGGCAACAAAATCACCCCCCGCCCCCCACCCCCCCGTCTTCAGTTCCCAACCTCTCAGAAGTCACCTCTCTGCTCCAGACCAGCCCATGGTGATCCCAGCTCAGGGCTGGGCAAGGGGAAGGTGGTGGATCCAACTTCCATCCGCAGGACCATGCGCTGGGATGGGGTTTCGAGCATGGGATTTGATAGCTGGAAGGTGGAGAGTTCATTCTGCTTCAAGAGTTCACTGGCAGATATTTCACTTCCACTTTGTCCCTTTCTGGGAGGATTTCCCGTGTTACACCCATGACACTGCTCTGCGGCTTTTTGTCAGGGAAAAGTCCCAGCCTGGGAATTTGTTCCCTCCTGCCTGGCCACCAGGCAGCCAGATGCCAGCCTACCTGCTGTCACCCCTCTGAGATGCGGCTGGGAAGTCTGTGATGGCAGCTTGTCCCTGTGAGCCTTCTCTCCTCATTTTTTGGGTGTTTGCCCTTCTCCTTTGACTTTCCTGTGGTCTCCAGGTTTGTTCCCAACCTACCCTTGCACTGCCAGGGCTACTTTTTGCCTTCCTTTCATCTCCAGCCTCTTGTCTGCTCCTGTCTGTCAGCATCTCTCCCATCCCTTAATGTTTTTAGATACCCAGCCACGTCTTCTGGCTGGAGCTCTCCTCCCTTGCTGGAGAAGCTTCCAAAGAAACCATCTTCTTGCCCATCTTCTACCCAAATTCTGCCACAATTACTGGACCTGGCATCCTCCTCTGCCCCCCAAAAGACCACTCCACCCACCTGTGGAATTTGCATCCTCTGTGTTGGGTGGACAATTTCAGTCTTTTTGGATTTTTTTTTTTTATCACTCAAAGGGTCAGGGCTCCTGGGTGTTACCACCCTTCCAAATAAGGAGTATCCCTGCTCTCCTGGCCAAGGACATCAGGAATTTGTCAGCCCTGCAGTACCTTTGATCCCCCATTCATCATCCCGCACTTCCCGTCGTTATCTTTGTGGGACACTCTTCCGGTATTCAGCAGATATTTGATTTCCTATGAATTTAAATAAAAAGACCTTTTCCTTTTTTTTTTTTTTTTATGATTCTAGAATACTTTTGGCACCACGTAGAGGCATTTCATTCCAAGAAAAATAAAGGAAAACTGTTCTACCTAAATATAGATCAAAAGACACTGGTTAGCTGCCTCTTGCATCCCCGGCCGAGAGTGCCTTCCTCTCACAGACCACCTGGGTTCTTTGGACAAGGTTTCTGCCCTGCTCCCTAAACTTTCTATATTTTCCCTCCTCTGCCTCTGTTCAGCTCTCTCCTGCCTTGGCTCACTGCCTGGCTCAAGGGAAGATGCTGTTTTTTGAATATTACAAAGGTCTTCCAGTAGTGAGGCCATGTGCATATTTGATCCTTTCCCTCTGGGGATTTTAAAGCCCTTTTACAACTTTTCCTAGTAACAGCCCTTATAGCAGGGTCTGTTATTTGACTTTACAGCTGAGTGAACCCAAGGATGTTCCATGTCAGAGGCGCAGCTATTGGCCAAAGCCAACTTGAGTCCACTCCTACAGGGTGTGATCACCAGCAGTTACACAGCAGCAGCCAGGCACTACAGCCTCGAACGGCCTCCAGTGGTGCATGGAGAGGTTCAGATTGGATATTTGGGAAAATTTCTTCACTGGAAGAGTGTTTAATCACTGGAATGGGTTGTCAGGGAAGTGGTTGAGTCCCCATCCCTGGAAATCATCAAAAAATGAGTAGACGTGGCACTTTGCCATATGGTTTAGTGGCCATGGTGGTTCTTGGTCAAAGGTTGGGCTTGATGATCTTGGAGATCTTTTCCAACATTAATGAGCTTATACTTCTGACTGGGCTCTCACTGGCGTGGCACATTCTGTTTGCCCACAGGTGTTTGTGTTGTGCCATGGGCTTCTCCAGCTCTCCCAGCTCCTCTACAGTGCCAACTTCAAGAGCAGCCTCACCACAATTGAGAAGCGCTTTGGGCTCTCCAGTCTCTCTTCAGGTTTCATCTCCAGCTTGCATGAGGTAACTGGGGGTGGTCAGAACATGGTGGGGACCTTCCCAAAATAGGTTGTTAGGTTGTTCACACCCAGTGCTTCCTTGGCCATGCCCACGTGAAGTAACTGTTATTGTACACTTGGACACCTCTTCACACTTCACTTCTGCTCTACCACCTTCCAGGAGGGTGAACTTAGGGTTATGTGGTGATGACCCTCTGGCCAAGAGCTGACTTTCACTGGATACAGAATCCCAGAATGGTTTGGGTTGGAACGGACCTTAAAGTTCCTCCAGTTCTACCTCCTGCCATGGGCAGGGACACCTTCTCCTAACCTGGGTTGCTCCAATCCCTGTCCAAGCTGACCTTGAACACTTCCAGGGATGGGGCAGCCACTGCCCAGGGCAGTGGTGGAGTCCCCACTCCTGGAGGGATTTAAAAGCCATGTGGATGTGGCAGTTGGGGACATGAGTTAGTGGTGGGAATGATTGGACTTGATGATCTTAGAAGGCTTTTCCAACTTTAATGATTCTGTGATTCCTGTGGGGTGGGGGACAGCTGTGGGTGCTGAAAGAAGCCCCATACAGACCACAGGGAGGCTGTGAAGTTGTTCATGACAACAAGGAACACACAGAGGTGACAGAAGCCAAGGAGGTGTCCCGCTGGTTTTAGGTGAGAAGGAAGCACTGAATCGCTGTGAGCATGCAGGGTGAAGGGTCACACTGCTCCTGCTCTGTCAAACACCACCAGGTAACAGAACTCTCCACCCACCTGGGCACAGTTACAGGGTCTTAACACCCTCTGTGATGTCTTCTGACACTTCCAGATTGGCAACGTGGTCCTCATCATCTTCGTCAGCTACTTCGGCAGCCGCGTGCACCGCCCACGAGTGATCGGTGGGGGGGGGCTGCTGCTGGCACTGGGGGCCTTCCTGGTGACCCTGCCCCACTTCCTCTCGGAGCCCTACGAGTATACCACACTCAACACTGGTAAGGACCATGAGCTGTGCCACCACAGATCCACTTCCAGGTGCTCCGGGCTAGGGTGTGACACAGTGTTTGGGGGGAGAGACTTGAGGTCAGCATTTACTAATTAAACCTGACTTCATTATGTCTTTGAAACCCATTCTGAGCACAGTAATTACATGTGGGATTCCTTCTGCCTCTCCCAGGTATGTTATTCCAGCTGTGCTGAGGTCATAAAATCATGAAATGTTTGGGTAGAAAGGGACTTAAAGATCTTCTCATTCCACCCCCCTGCCATGGGCAGAGACATCTTTCACTAGCCCAAGTTGCTCCAAACCCTGTCCAACCTGGCCTTGAACACTTCCAGGGATGGGGCAGCCACAGCTCCTCTGGGCAACCTGTGCCAGGGCCTCACCACCCTCCTATGACAGAGCAAAGATCTCCTGTCCCCAGGGCCTGTTCTGCTCCAGCCTGGAAGCCTTGTGATCCACACTGAGGAAGGCTACTGGTTTAACTGGGCAGGCTTTGGGAACAAGCTTGTGTGTATAATGACACTTTATTTTCCACGCAGAGTGGAGTAAGCAGAAGAACCTGCATCACCTGCCACAAGTCTGGCTTTGCCTTTCCTAAGTGACTTCAGCACCTAAATCCTTGGATGCTGTCATCAGCCTTAGTCTCCTCAGGGACTGCCACCTCTAAAAACCAGCTCTCTGCTGGTCTCCATCCCCGTGGTTTTTGAGTTGGACAGTTTGGAGAGTAAATCAGACATCAGATGCCAAGTTTTACAACAACTTAAACTCATGCACCAGACTATGAACAAGTCAGGATATGGGACAGGGGCTGCTATTACTGTGAAGGAAACGAGGAAGGAGCAGGTATCACCCTGCTCCCTGCCCAGAGCTATATGAGTTTTGACTCAGTATTTATGCTCCGTATGCTCCCTTGTATGGGTACTTCTGTAAAACAATAAGGTAACTCACCAGGAATTATATGGAAAATGTGTTGGTCAAGTAATGCTGATGCCCTCATTGACTAGTGTTAGATTCGTTTGCAGCCATGGAGGAATGATTATAACCAGGAATCACCGAAAAGTTTGAAGGGAAGCACTAAGGACTGTGTTTGACCCTAAAGTTCTGTATGTGGTGCAGTTCTTGCAGAACAGCTTTGCTAAATTGAATAAGATTAGAGGATGGACTGTGCAAAACCAAACTAACAGGGCAAAGATATTGACATTATGAGAATTGCTGGGCAATAGAAAGAAGAAATTCACCCTGTGAACAGCCCATGAAGATGCTCCAGTCCAGGCTGGAGTTTTCACAGCAGTTTTGAGTAGGGTGAAGACCTCCCCATGTCTGGACCGTATGAAAAAGCAAGGACCCTGTTTTGGAAGGAGCTGGGCTGCTCTTGAACGAGGGGGGCAATGGTGGCAGAGTGTCCTCAGGGCATCTAGGTCACCCCAGATGGTGTCATTCACTGTTCCTGCCCAGGTACCATAGGGGAGTAAAGACCACAGATAACAAAAACCAGCCATGGGTTAGGTTGACCTCATTTTGCCCTCATTAAACCAAGAGCTCCATGCCTTGAATTCTAAAAGTTTGATTAAAATCACAGCTGGGTTGTTTGCTGCCCTGACCTCAGTGTAATGCTCCAAAGGAAGGGCAAGGTGATGAGAACTGCTAAATAAAATGAACAATCCATCCAAAATCCAGCATGTCTGGGAGACTCCTGCTGTTTTGGGATTTAGTGTGGGAGGAGGCAGGGGATGTGCCAAGTGTTGTAATGCTCATTTTTCTCCCTTTCAGGTAACAAAAGCCAGGGGCAGGCTGAGCTCTGCTATCCAGAGAATAAATTTGTGTGCCCAAATGCCACCCAGGACCCCCAGAAGGAGGCCAACAGCATATGGGCCATGATGGTCATTGCCCAGCTGCTGGCCGGAATTGGGACCGTTCCCATCCAGCCCTTTGGGATATCCTATGTGGACGACTTTGCAGACGCCAACAATTCCCCTCTGTACGTTGGTAAGTGAGACCATTGCTGTGTATTTTGTCTCCTCCAGATCTTACAGGTGAAATATCAAGGTATTCATCTGGAGAGGAACCCATGGACACGGATTGAGCAGCCAGGGGGAGCCAGACAAAATCCTTCCCAATTGAAAACCCAGATTGTCTCTCCCCTTGACAGTCAGCTGTTCTCTGTAGAGTTATGTTTATGATGTTGGTGATAGGAGGCCAAAATTCAGGATAAGGAGATGAGAGGGATGAGCTGGGACTTCTCCCTTGCATTTGTGAGGTCTTGTGCAATCCATAGGGGAGAAGAGTTGCAATGAAACCTTCTCAGAGACCACCTTCTGTTGTTATTGAGCATTGATTGGTCAGCAATATGAAAGCCTGCAAGAGCCAGATAACACAGGTTTTTTTTAATCAAGGGTCCAAAGTCAACACTTTTGCCATGGAATTGGTCCCTGCCCAGTGTGGGCTCCCAGGCTCAGAAGGAATTCTTGCTTGAAAAGAGATAATTCCTGGCTTACACATCAAATTGTGTTTTATGTCCTATGAATGTCAAGCCCCATCCGGTGCTGACCTGCCTACGTGAGCTTTGAGCTCAATCCATAAGTTATTTAAAAACCTGATTCCTCCTGGTGCCAAACAATGTCTTTAGAGCAGCCAAAGGTGTCAGAGTGATTTAGGAGTCGAAAGTAGATGTCCAAAAATAAGGTAAGCACTAGAGGAGGAAAGCCTTTGGAACTAAACTCCCAAGGACAGGCTTTGGACAAACACTGGAGTGCTTGGCAGGGTCTCTAGACCCACCCAGGCATGCTTTGCTCCAGGAAAGTTCTGCTGCACCACCAATGAGCACTGCAGAGTCTCACTTGTGGGTAGTGCTCACTCCTCTCAGTTCATTGGACTGGTAAAAGCAGGGACAGAATCATAGAATTCCAGGATGGTTTGGGTTGGAAGAGACCATAAAGCTCATCTAGTTCCAAACCTGTGCCACAGACAGGGACATAATCCACTAGACAAGGTTGCTACCAGCCCCAAGCATCCTTGTCTTCCCCCTGCAGTGAGGGGTTCCCATGACCTCTGAGTGCCCTTTGAAATCCCAGACTTGCTAGGAAAATGAAGGAAAGGGGACTGAAGGACCATGAAAGGTTCCGAGGATGAAGAAAATGGGACTGGTGTGTTGTTTATAAAACAGATGGTCACTTCAGGGCTACTGGAGGTCCAGGTTGCCTCAGTACAAGATAAATGCTATCGCCCTGAGTCTGGTGTCATTCTATGGTTGGTGCAGTTCAAGACACTGTTCCCTTTTGAGTAGTTTAAGAATGTTGTGCAAAGCGTTTCTTCCAAGGAGAGAACTTGGATCCTTTCATTCCAGATGAGTCAAAAGGAAACATTCTAACCTTATAGGTTGGGTGCCGGTTTTCTGTTTTGGAACAGGCTGGCTCAGTGGACCCAGGGTGGTCTGCCAGCCTTTTTGCCCTCAGAGTCTTTCACTGCCCCTGATGCTTGCACCGAATGTTTTTGCTTGTATTTGAGGACTGGGATGGGTTTGTTTCCCTGGCCTCCTGGAGGAAGTGAAGGTCTCCATCACCTGTGGGATCCCAGGATGTCACCATCCTGCTACTCTGTGGTATTCCCCACTTTGTCCCCATGGATCATTGATATTCATGGTGTAGCTGATAACTTTTAGTGCCCCAGCAAAGCCTTGACTGCAGCAGAGCAGAGGGACTTTTTCTGCAGCAGCTGCCTTCCCCCTCCTGTTACTGTTAGACAAACAGCACCTTCAGTGGCTTAGCAATGGGCACCTTCTCATCATCTACCGGGTGCTAAAGGGTGATTTCTCCCCTCTGCATGTAGTACCATCATTCCTGCCTCACCTGGGAAGACAGAAGCCATATCTGCATTGCAACTACTACTCCCTGCTCACACTGGCTCTCTCTGCTCCCTTTTCCCAGCCATCCTCTTTGCCATTGCTGTGTTTGGCCCAGCTTTTGGATACTTGCTAGGATCTGTGGTGCTGCGGCTCTTCGTGGACATTGGGAGGGTTGACACTGGTAAGTATTTCTCAAGTAGTGATGGCCCTAACAACCTCCTGAGTCAGAAGATCACTGTGAGATGAAAGGTGACAGAAGTCATCAGTCCTATGACCCATAAAACCCACTGCCATGGAAAGACCACATTCCTCTGCTCCATCATCCCATGAAGAAGGATATAGGTGGTCTTGAAGCCACCACTGAAGCAGAGCCCTGTGGTAGGAACATGCCCAACTCATGGTGCTGCACTAGTGGTCATGGCTGGGTCTGCTCACATCACCACACTGAGGAGGTATCACACAACCCCAGCTTGGTGGTGGAGAGGAGCAGGGACAAATGAAGCATCCAGGGATGGAGAAAACAACCTCAGGACAACTGCCACCCTATGGATACATGGGAGGCTTGAGTCTACTCATCCTCCTCCCCATCACCCTTCCCCAGCATCTGCAGAGAGAGGGACCAAGCCGGCGCCACCACAGGGATAATTTTATTTATCAGCTGTGCATGCTTATTATTTCTGGTAACTTAATCTCTGAAGAATTCTCCCCAGCTCCATCATTTATGTGGCTTTTCCTGTGTTTCCTCAGAGAGATCAGAGCCTTCCTGATGTTTTTGTCCAATGCCTGATAAGAACAACAAATGAACCTGGGCAGGAAGCTCCAAAAAGCCTTGGCCCGCTCCCCGTGATGGCAGACGGATTTAGCAGCCTCTGCCCAGTTGCTCCATAATGCGTCCAAGCTCCAGAGTGGAACAGTCCTGTTTGGGGAAGTGGGACAATAGTTCCATTGGAGTGTGGGCAGCAGAAGAGCACCCCTGGCACGGGTCTCCCACCTGGAGCCTGCTACTGGTTCCTTCCAGTTGGCACATCCCGGCCATGGGGACCTGCGGGCCCAATGCCAAACCAAGCAATCTATCAAACCTCCCGTGAGCATCTCTTGGCCCAACCCAAGGATGTCTCCGCTGGAGACAGAGCAGCTCTCACCTTCTCCTCCCGTTTCCGGAGAAGGCGCCCAGGGTTCCGTCCACTCAGATATGGGGCTCATTAGCAGCACTTGTCTACCGGCACAGGGCCTTCTCTTGGTCTCTGCAAGCACAGAGTGACCGAGCCTGGAACAATGGGAGAGAAATTTTTTTCCAGGAAAGTAGCTGCATCCTTTGCTGGTCCCTGTCTTGGCTCAGCATCCCTGGCAGGCAACATGGTCCAAACCCACTGTATACTCCCAGAGAAGGAGGATGGAGCTGGACCCTGTAATCGCCACCTGACTGGCTGGCTTGGGGGAGGAAGAGCTGAACCTGTGCCATCAGTGTGCTTCCATGCTGACTAAAACCAGCCTGCAACCATCTGGGAGGCTCAGCGCAGTTGTCATGAGTGGTTGTGCAGGCTCCTGTCCAGGGGAAAGAAAAACACACCCAGAGCTGGTCTTGCTGCCATTGCCAGTGGGAGCTTCAACCTCCGCCCATTTGCTCTTCCATGCCACTGAAGAGACCCTTGGGCTGTGCCCACAGGGACCCTTTGTGCTCCACCAGTCCATATTTTCATGGGCATTTGTCCCTTTTACCCCTGGAGCTCTTACAGTGTGTCCTCATGTCTTGCAGCAACACTGGGCCTGATGCCGGGAGACCAGCGGTGGATTGGAGCCTGGTGGCTGGGGCTGCTGATCTCCTCAGGTTGCTTGGTGCTCACCTCCATTCCTTACTTTTTCTTCCCTCGGTACATGCTGAAAGGAGAGGTGAGACCTCATCTCCAGAGGCTGGAATACCTTGGGAGAAGGGAAGTGCTTGGGGAGAGAATGCCTGTCCCCAGAGGAGAGGGGCAGGGAGGGAGGAAGGGAGCCCTTTCCATTAAAACAGATGTTAAAATATGCAATATTATTAAAATTTCTCATGTTGGTGTTTTCAAAGCCAAGACCCAATCTGGTTTTGTCACAAAAGTACTTGAGTTCTGTATTGAAATTTTTTAATCATCCATTCTTTAAAGGTCAAAATCAAGCCCCAAATATTTCATGGTTATGGCTAAAGGATTTATGAGACTTGAGGCGAGCTGAATTCAGCTTTCAGACTTTTTGCAGAGTTAAAAGAGAGATCTCTTGTCAGGGTTCAGGAGAGGAAAACTTTCCAACTTCTTCAAGCCTCTCCAAGTGGGAAAAGCTGTTGTCTTTTCCCATTGAACAGGGGGAAAAGCCTGGGGAAAAGCCCCTGTCTCTGCTCAGGGGCTGACAGGGGAAAAGCCCTTTTCTCTGCTCAGAGGCTGCAGTGATGTTTGAGATATATCACCCCTTTAGCCATAGAATCCCAGAATGGTTTGGGCTGGAAAGGACCTTAAAGCTCATCTCATTCCATCCCCTGCCATGGGAAGGGGCACCTTTCACTAGCCCAGGTTGCTCCAAGCCCCATCCAACCAAGCCTTGGACACTTCCAGGGGTGGGGCAACCACAGCTTCTCTGGGCAACCTGTGCCAGGGCCTTCCCACTCTCACAGGGAAGAATTTCTCCTCAATATCCCATCTAATCCTGCCTTCTGGTAGTGGGAAGCCATCCCCCCCTTGTTCCATCACTCCATGCCTTGTCCAAAGTCACTCTCCAGCTGCCTTGGAGAACTTTTAAGCCCTGGACAGGGGTCTAAGATCTTTCTGGAGGCTTCTCTTCTCCAGGCTGGACACCCCCAGCTCTCCCAGCCTGGTGAAGTGCTCCAGGACAGGTTGGATGGGGCTTTGCTGTGATTGTCAGGCTTGGCTGAGGGTGAAAGGCACCTGGGACAGACCCTGCCCCTCCCCAGCTTCTCTGTGCCCCAGGACGGTGCCAGTCACCCATGGGTGCTCCCCTCTCACCACAGCCTGCCCCTCTCCCCTTCCCCAGGACCGGAACACAGAGGCTGGAATGCTCAGGAAGATGGAGACGGGGGCGGCTGAAGAGACCTCCCTGCTGGAGTTTATAAAAAGTAAAGGGTTGGCACTTCCAGGCGAGGGTGGGCGGGGATGCTGGGCAGAGTGAGACCACCACGATGGTGATTTCAAGCTGAGGGGGCTTGTTGGGAGCCTCTCTGTCCAGCATGTTGTGTGGAGATGACAGGGCCAGGTCTGGCACTTCCAGGGCTGCAGCATGCCCTGCCCTTAGGAAAGGGGGACATGGTCTTCCTCCTGCTCTAAGCAGTGCTGCCATCTGTGGGGCCTGAGCTGTTTCTGATGATCAGTTTGATGACCTTAAAATGGTGTGAGTGTGCTCGAAAAGGGGCACTGGGAGGTTTAACCCCAGCTCCAGGGGTGGGCACGGGGCTGCTGGTGCCACCAGCCCGCCCCTTCGAGGAGGTCACCCCATTGCAGCTGACACTGCTCTGTTTACATATAGCCAAAATGGGCTTGAGAGGGATGCCACTGGTGAGGGACCAGATTAATTACTCTTATCAGTTCCGTGACGATTTCTTCCCAGATGAAGGCCCTCCCTCCTTCCATCTCCATTCACCACAGTCATATCCTGTATGTAGCCAGCTCCCCCTGTGCTCCATCTCAACAGGTTTTGATCGATGATGCTGGCTCTACCCTGCACTCTCTGCTAATTAGAAAAGCTCATTAGAGACCAAATAAACAGAGCTGATCCCGAGGAGCCTGGAGTCTGTCTCCCTTTGCTGAGAGAGCTGGGGGACATGATGTCCCCCTAGGAAAACACTGTGGTCATCCATGGTCCTGCCAGCTGCCAGGACACATCCCACTTTCCCATGGCCAGACATCCCCAGCAGATTGTCATCATCCCACAGACATCCTCGCTGGGAACAACCTAAGGGTGGGGTTTTTTCCCAGTACAAGTTGCTGGCGTGAGGATCATATGGCTAAAAACCATTTTTCCTGCTCTTTCCCCATAGGATTCCCAAAGATCTTCCTCAGACTGCTGCTCAACCCCCTCTTCATCCTCCTGGTGCTGGCTCAGTGCAGCTTCTCCTCAGTCATTGCGGGTCTGGCCACTTTCCTCAACAAATTCCTGGAGAAGCAGTACGGTGCCTCTTCTTCGCAAGCCAACTTCCTCATAGGTGAGCATGGATGGAGGCAAAAAATACTCATCAGCACAGACCCACACTCCCGTATTCTCCAGGATTTTTAAACTCCTGCAGGAGAAGCCACTGGAAACTCCTTTTTGAGTGAGACCTGGGGTTCACCTTGGGGTGATTTTCCTGGCCTGAGGTTTCCCAGCTGCCTTGGGCTGCCTTGGATAACAATGGGGTCTGTGGGTTTTCCCAGCTCCCAAGAGGGCCCCAGGCACTCCCTGCCCAGGGAGAGGTGCTGGGCAGGCAGGACCTCCAAAATGCCCTCGTTTCCCTGCAGGAGCCGTGAACCTGCCAGCAGCAGCTCTCGGGATGCTTTTAGGAGGGATCATCATGAAACGCTTCGCCTTCTCCCTGCGGGCCATCCCCCGCTTCGCTGTGGTGGTGCTCATGTTCTCCATCCTCATCTGCCTCCCCATCTTCTTCATGGGCTGCTCCACCGGGCGCATCGAGGGCGTCTACTCCCACAGGTAATGCAGGTCCTTGGGCTGCTCCCAGCTTCCTGTTTCTCCAGCCCTTGTCCCACTTGTCCAGGGATACACACAGGTGAAGAGGCAGTAGATATCACCATGCTGCTGCCTGCTCCTTGATTCCACTGGTTGGAGGTGATCCAAGCAATTCACAGCACAGAGCGCTCAGGAGGTCATTTATCCCTGATTTTCTATGCCAGACAAGCAGGATGCATTTTTCACTCTGGATTTCTAGGGGGAAATTTGGAATATTAGTGCCTGTGTCCACATCACCTCACACGCTTCCTGTGTTCGAGCTTGACATCACCTTTCTTCTCACCTCAGTGAGAAGAAGGTTCTGATGACCCTTATCATGACTTTTTAAGATAAAAATAACATTTAGATACCACCAAGGCTTGAAGTCAAGTGCATTGTGCTCATTCCCCAGTGGAAATGCCAGCAAGAAAAAGGTTTCTGGTACAATTTTCCTAAAGGGATGGAGCAACCCCATCCCACCCTGCCAGGGGCAGCACCCTTGTGCCACATTCCTGCAGGATTCCAGCTGTGCCACTTAGCAGATGCACTCCCTCAGGTAGGGAGGAAAGATAGGACAGATCACTGGGTTTGTCCTCTTGACTTCCATGCTGTCATCAGGTTTGTTTGGGAATGTGCCCACTTCCCATTTGAGTCTGAGTGGTGTTTCCAGTTGGGGCTATTTGCACAGCTGCACAAGCAGCTCTGGATGGAGCCCAGGTCCCTTTCTCCAGGAGTTTTCAGATGGGGAGGGAAGAGAAAAAAAAAAAATTAAAAAAGAAGTGTGTGAGTACTTGTTTGCAGACATAACATAGTTCCTGTGACATTCACTGTACACTTCCAGAGGTACCTGTGCGGATCACAGGCTGGCAGGAGGCCAGGCTGCTGCTGGCAGTGTCCCGGACCAAACAGGAATGGGGAAACTGGTCAACTAGTAAGAGGGACTTTTATTTTTCTTCTTTCTGTCCTATTTCTTAATTTTTTCCCCCATTTTTCCCTCCTCCTTTTTGGCAGTACACTGAGTTCCCAGCAGCAGGTTAAGGAGCCGAGTGGGTGCCACTGCTCCAAGCACATCTTCCACCCAGTGTGCTGGGAAAAAACGGTGGAGTACATCTCGCCCTGCTTTGCTGGCTGCACCAGCAGCACCATCAATTCCTCCAACCCCAACCAAGTGGTGAGTAAAGCACAAGGTTTGCAAAGCAGCCTGAACCTTTGCTTGCTGGAGGCAGGGGAGCAATGCTGCAGGAACCTGACAGATGCAACAAGGGGGTGGAACCTTTTTGGCATGGTGTGCTGGAAAGTCTACCAGGGAGCTGGAGTCCTGGGAAGGGCCATGGAGAATTCCTTGGAGTCTGCTTAGAGAAACAGGGATGGTGGCACATCCCATTGCAGGATGCCATGGCTGTGACCTTAAAGTTGGAGCTCATGCTCTCGTTGGTCTCCTGCAAAGGGCTGTGGTCCAGTGCATCACTAAAATCCCCGCTCTTGGCTTTGGGAGTCTTACATCTGTTCTGTTCCAAACATTTCCAACAGATCTACAAGAACTGTTCCCTGATCACTGCTGGGAAGCTGCTGTACTCAGGCTCCTGTCCGCTCAGCTGCTCTGACATGCTCCTTCCTTCCATATTCCTCATCTCCTTCGCTGCCCTGGTCGCCTGCCTGTCCCATAATCCTCTCTACATGATGGTCTTACGGTGAGCACTGGGGGAGGGTGGTGGCACGTAGGAGTCACAGGGGGCAGCATGATGTGATGGCTCCCCATGTTGGGGTCCATGGGATGTCATAAATGTGCAACCAGCCCAAGTCTTGACCAAACCCAGAGCCAGCACCACCAGCTCTGACCTCCCATGGCTTCTCCCCTGCAGAGTGGTGAACCAGGATGAGAAGTCGTTTGCCATTGGTGTCCAGTTCTTACTAATGAGGCTGCTGGGTGAGTGTCCATCTCCTAATGAGTCTGAGGGGAGCAGTGGAGGTTTGCTGGAGCCCTAGGAGGTGTTGAACCTCATCAGGGACAGCAGCCTGACTCTGTCCTCTCTTCTCCCAAGCCTGGCTGCCGGCCCCGGCCATGTTTGGGGCGCTCATCGACTCATCCTGCATCTACTGGCAGCAGCAGTGCAGCCAGCGCCAGTTCTGTGCCTACTACAACAATGACTTCCTCCGCAACAGGTACCCCTGGCACCTATGCCCTGTCCCCCTTGGTGGGCATGGCCACAGGGATGATCCCCAGCTCAGCCTGGGGCCAGCTGGAGGTGCCACCTTTGGACATGGCACCTCCCTGCTCTTCTCCTGGCAGATACCTGGGGCTGCAGGTGGGCTACAAGGTGGTAGGCACCATCCTGCTCGCCCTCATCAGCTGGAAGGTGAAGAGGAGCAAGGAGTACAACGTGCAGGAGAAGGCAGCAGGGCTGGTGTAGCCCCCAGGGACCGTCTCCCCACCCCCACCACACACTGCCAGTACTTTGTCTTGCTTGGGTTCATTTTACCTCCTTTTGGGAGTGACCTCACCTCAGCAGCTCTGAGCTCCTCTCCTGCAGCCCAGGGCATCGCCATGCTCCTGGTGAGGGACGCTCTGTGCCAGCCCCATCCTGGGAACGACTGCCCCCAGGCTCTCCAGCTGCACTTGCCCATCACCCTTGGGAGGGGGCAGACCTCCAGCAGCTGGACCAGGAGGTAGAAAGAGGCTGGAACTCATAGACCCAGAGAAGTGCCAGCTGTGGGCGATGGTCCCTGCTTCGGTGTGACATTTCCAGCCAGGTGTTGCCTTCCCAGCTGGGACAGGAGCAGGGACGTGGCTGCCAGCCCTGAAGGGCTGCCCGATTTCCCCTCACCCCTCACAGAGCACACCGCACATGTATTATGACAAGTTATCACAAGGGGTTTGTTGCAGAACGTTTGCGGTTTGTTGCTATTTTTATTTTTTAAATAAAGGTCACTTTTCCAACTGTGGTGGTTCCCTGGTCTCCCTCCACCTCCAGAGCTGTCCCCAGCAGCCAGGCAAGGCAGGGGGGGTGCTGTGCTGAATGCCCAGTATTCTGGATCATCAAGTCCAACAGGAATAGGGCTGCAAGAAGAAGCAATTTTTGACCTGAGGTTCTGCCTTACTTTGATACGTTTGTTGGCACAGACAATTCTGATAGTTGGTTGCTCATGCTGGTGCCTCAAAAGAGGCACAATGAACAAAGAAATCCCTGGGCAATTAATCCCCTTACAACTTTCATTCCCCCTCCCTCACACGACACGTATCAGGGGTTGGGGTCCTTTCCACTCCTCACAGCTTCGCTGTTTTGGTACCAAACTGTTGCTTCAGCCCCTAAGGTGGGTTTTGGTGAGGGTTCCATGGGTTCTCTTAGTCCACGCTGTGACAGGATTGTTATACAGTTCACAGACAAGGATTTATGGGCTGTTTGCTCCAGCTATCAATTTTTAAGCAATACTTAAGCTGCAGCTTTGTCTATTCTAACTACTAATAATGATCCATCTGACTGACACAGCACAGCCATATGGTTCAGATGAAGTTCAACCTGTGGCCCAACAATTGCAGCTACTTATGTCAAGCACTGAAGCTACTTTTAAATCATATAAATTCTTCACTGCAGAGGGCTCTGGGCAGGGTCCAATTGGCTTTGGGCTTTCTTTTAGGGGTTTTCTTGGGTAACTGTACTCAGCCTGTACTCCTTAAGTCATTGTTATGATGGGCAAGGCATTGTTCTTTCCTCTGTGCTCTTGGCTCTGCTGCATCTGTGCTCACAATGGGAGTCAAGGGAAAGGGGAGGAGAGGTGAATTTGCTCTGGATCAGCCACTCTTTGCCAAAATTGAGGTCTGTCCATGCTATTCCTGTCCCCTCTCCACGTGGCAGATTTTTCCTAAACACCCTTGGGAACCACCACCCTCAGGATGCTGATGTCCAGGCATTACTATTTTTCTTTTTCTCTGCCTTTCAGCAACCTCTCCTCCACTTTCAGTTGGTTTCTGCTATCCCAGATCTCACTGTGCTCATCGATCTCCTCCAAAAACATCTGCCTTTTCCAGGGGGACAATCTAGAGCACAACCCACAGCAAAAACACTGACCAAAAGACTTTTAGAGCACAGTGAGAACCTCAGTCCCTGCAGATGTGTGAACACAGCTGGAGCAGAAGGGACTGAGTTTATCACATCCCACTGTCCTGCCAAAGCCATCCCAACACACCACTGCCAAGCTGCAGACAGAGGAGTATCATGCCTGGCCAGCACAAAGCCTCAGGCTGGGAACAAGGGCAGAAGAGAAAACAACAAAGCACAGCGCTGACTGAGGGGGAAAAAAACCCCCAAGAACACAACATTCAGAGTTTCCAGTTCTGCCCTTCTCCCTCTCCTTCAGTCCTGAATATTTGACAGGCAAGTCATGGAGTGAGGCCCAAAGAACATAGGGAGCTCTGCATCAGCCCCAGCATGGGCAGTTCTGGGAACAGCTCCAGTTTAGCCACACAGCCCTGCAGGGAAAGTTGAGCCATCTCCACCCAACTGTGAAGCCATGGGGTGCCACAGCCACCTCCATGGCACAGCAGTGGTGCTCTGTCACCTAAACCATCACGGCCTGCAGCTGCCTGGGGTTTTCCTGTGCATGTCATCAAAGTGCCCTCTTTTTAATGTTTTTCAGTTGTTTTTTTGCTATGTGATCATCAATTTATCAAGGAATTTCCCTGTTCTCTAACATTCAGACTAAGGCATAAACATACACCCAGAAACCCCCAACCCCAAAGCCCTGTGTGTGCAGAGGATGCTTTTTGACAACACAGACCTGGTCACAGAGTAGGAAGGTTGATGCCAAACGTGCTGACCAGGAGCAGAGCCCCATCCAATTGGATCTGACACCACTGGGTAGGGCCAAGGCAAATACACAGACTAAAGCAAGACTTGAGAACAAACATTTAAGCAAAAAAAAAGTTTATTTAAAAACGAATAATTTAAAACCAACCATGGTCTTGTTGGTACCTTTCCATCCCCTAACAGAGGCTGGTGCTTGGCCTCTACTTTTCAAGGAGATGCATCTTCACAAGAACAACCACCCAAAGAAACAGCAATTTTTTGCCCCAAACCACTTCAGCACCATTGATTTGAAGCAGGAAGCCTTGGATCTCCAGCTAAGGGAACTCAAAGCATGACAAACATGTTCTGACAAGACTCTGGTTGCAGGAAATAGAATATAACATCCTTGGTAAATATAACCCTCCCTACCTTCTGCATGGATAGTGGAAGAGCTACTGGGTTCACGAGACTAGAAATGCAAGAATCAGCTTTGTTATGGGCACAGGGCTTTGGGAAGGCTGTTCCTGCTCCTCCCAACACTTGGTAATGCTACAGGGAGGCAGGGAAAGCACCAGAGAAAGAAAAGAACACAACAGATGAGCTGAACGATGGAGGAAGCACCAAACTGGAGAGGAGGGGTCTGCAAAGGACAAAAAGGGTCTGCCAGGAGCCAGCCACTCCCTCAACTCTTAAACAACAGGAAGCCATAAAAATAAAAGAAAAATGTCCCTGCGGTAGGACACTGCAATGTGCAATGAGACATAAACTGGAAACATCTCCCATTTCTTTCCCTCTTCCTTGAGCACCTTCCTCAGGAGGAGGAAGCACACCCATGTGCTGGCAGGTCCTTGATTTTTCCTCTCACTTTGCCACAACTGGTGATTAATTACACATCAAATAAGACCTTCCTGCAGCCACTGGAGCAAGAGGCAGCAGGGGACTGCAAGACAAATGCCTGGCACGGGCAGAGCTCATGCATACACAGGATGCAGGCATGGATTAAAATCGTGCTCACCCCAGAGTTTCAAGACACAGCTCTCAGCTAAAGAACAACCCTCAAGAGCTGACCAAGAGAGGAAATCACCAAGGACATGGGGAAAGGGACTAAAGCATAGCAGCCAGCCTGGTTTGGGCACCCCACTGACCCCTCCAGCCCCACAGAAACAGGGCTGCACCAATTTGGAAGAACAGGAAGGTAGAGACAGAGAGGAAAACAGCTTGTTATACTCTCCTCAATGCTTGCCCAACTGAGGGAGCCTGTGCATCAGCAGAGATGATGTGCAGCGCTCTCCAGCAGAGAGAGGCTGGGAACAGCAGCCCCAGCCAGGAGGTGATCAGTGGCAGCAGGGTTGCAATCCTAAATCAAGGCACAAGAAAGCACAGATTTCAGTCTCTAAAACCCACCTAGCAGCACACTCCTTCCTAATTTGCTTGGTAACTACCAAATGAAAAGCCTAAAGATTAAGGAGAAACACAAGTACAGAGAGTCAGCTTCCCAAAGAAGGACAAAGAGGGGAGAGGATAAAAACACTGCAGTATGAAGAGACAGAGGAAATCAGACCAGCAATTGTCATGTCACTCCCAAGCCCACGAGCAGCAGAGGAAGACACGACAGTGCTGACTTCTAGCCACAGTTCCTTCTTTCTACAGCCAATGAGAAGTGCTCCAGACCATCTACTTCCCTTCAGCCCCCAAGTGTCCTGCCCCCCAGCCCTGCCCTTCTCCGTTCAGGTGACCTTCACCAGCCACTTCTCCAGGCCCTCCAAGTCAGCATCTCCCTCCTCTCCCTTGCTGCCCCGAGCACTGCACTCCACGAATTCCACCTTCATGGGCAGCTGGGAGAAGTCGAAGTCCTTGCCCTTCTTGCCCAGCTGGGCAGGACCCCCTGAGCTGTCCAGGCTGGTGGGGGCTGCGGAGCGGGTCACCCGTAAGGTATTGCTGCAGAAGAGAGAAAGGAGAGGGTCAGGAACTGGGAACCAGGGGAACACCATGGCAGTTGAGATGTTTGGGATGCAGCTCTGCCAGTGGGATACAGCCATACCAAGGACAGAAGGCTCTGCTCTGAGAGGTACAAGCAGGAGCTCTGGCCAGCTACTGGAAGTCACAAGTGCAGAGGCTCAAGAGAGCAAGACAGGCAGGAGGGCACTCAAGGAGAAGTGCCTGAGCAGGTCTGGTTTTGCAAAAACAGCAGCACGAGTCAGGTGATGATGCTCTCAGCTCAATTTCCCCACTGATCACAGGACTTACATGAGATTTAGCCTGCAGTGCTCAAGGTCTGTGCCAGTTTAACTGGGAAGGGAGAGGCACCCGTGGCATCAGGGATCAGCAGGATCCCTGACACAGTGCCTGGGTGTGCCAGTCTGGGGATTGAGTCCCCCCACTACTTCCAGATATTCCTTACTCAGAGAATGGGGCGAAATTAAAGGGGGACAGGGAAAGAACACACCCAGAGTTCAGGAATAAGTGAGCAGACACCTCCTTGGGTTCTCCACTCACAGACATTGGAGTATGGCAGTGCTAGGAAAAGGATGGCAGCAATTTGCCAACCTGCTGGAATAGCAGTGGTAACAGGGTACATGTGACCTGCCTAGAGACCCAACATCTGCACACAGGCAACTGGAAAACGCTCAACACCAGAACCAAGCAGTGCTTATTTCCCTGGAGAATGTGAATATGTGGCAACTATTTCCTGCCTTAAAAACAGGAAGGTCAGCTATTCAGCCTGGGAGAGAACCAGCACAAATACCCCTGCTGCCGTCTGCTGGTCAAAGGGATTATTGGACCATTGAATCATTTAAAGTTGGAAAAGCCCTCTTAACATCATCGAGTCCAAGCGTAAACCCAGCACTGCTGAGCCCCAGAAAGAACAGACTGTTCTTCTGCCAACTGAACTCAGACACGGCTCAAAGGAACTCACCAAGCACTGAGGTAAGAGAAAGGACAAGAGGAGCTCAGAGGGATTGAGATCCCATTCCATACTTACAGCTCTTTCTCCAGCTGCTGTTGAATAAGTTTTGCTGATTTTGCCATTGTGACATCTAGAGAGAGAAAAGAAAAGGAAATTAGCAATTTGACTTTCTATCAGAATTCAGAATCCTGGTTCTCCCCCTAAAGCAAGGCCAGCTCATGCGGTACAGTCACCAGAGTTACGGGGACTGTTCCTGTGATGGATAAGGGATGCTGGAGCTTTGGGACTGCAGACAATGGGAACAACCCAACAGTCTGCTACAACACATTCCTTCTTGCTGGGCAGGAAGCTGCTTCAGAAGATGGGGTTTGATGCCCCAGCACTCCCACCTGTCCTGGCACTACAGAGTTCCACACGGTGCCTTTCACCCTGGGCATGTGGAGCCACAAAGGCATCAGGCAGCTCCTGAATCAGTGCACAAAACAGCTACAAAACCCAGACCTGATACTGCCCAAAAACTTCAGATTGTTACAGGGGGATCCACACTTCCACTGTAAAAACTGTATGGATCTGAAAATTGAGTCCTTTCCGGTAACTGGATGTTCCTGCTAGTCCAAACCAGAGAAAGCACAGAATCTTAGAGGCTAAACAACTGGTTTTAACATTCAAGCTGCTGAGAGTGTAGAAACAGTTCATTACGCTCAAGCTGATCCTATTTCCTTCTGCCTGGAGACTGAGGAACAGCTCTGCTCAAGCAGAAACCACTTGCCTTACTTAAGCCCACATGAAGAGCTGTAGGTCTCTCAAGTAGTGCTAGAAACCCTCCTGCTGAATAGTCTAAGTTTAAAGCTAAATTCCAGCCTTCACTGAAATCCCAACTCCTACAGAGTTCAGCACCCCTGGCATGAATCCCAGTCCCTGCAGGGCTGGATGCCAGGCCCAGCCCAGAGCACCTTGCTTGTTGCAGGCGATAAGCAGCGCAGGCGCATTCTTGAGGACGGTGCCATCGACCAGGACCTGGTACAGGAACTCTGCCACATCCTTCACCTCCCGCTGGAAGGCCACACTGTCCACCACAAACACAATGGCTCTGGGGAGAGAGGGAAAAAATGTGCTGAGGCTGCAGCTCTGCAACCATCTTCCTCTGCTGGGCTGATATATTCGTTGCCACATCTGATTTGTCCAACACAAGAGTAGGGCAGCAGGACTTCCTGGCTGAAACATACTCCATGTCTACTGCCCCAGGGATATCCCACATCCCCCAACCCTCCCCACTACAGCTGTGTTGCCACCTGGTGCACTACAAGTACAGCAAAGTAAGGAATTCATGGTGTGATTTTTGGGATTGTCCTGTGCAGGGTCAGGATTTGGACTCAATTCTTGTGGGGCTCTCCCAATTCAATATATTCCATGAAAGCAAAGTAAAAACTACCCCCCACTACCCCACAGCAGAGCTCTGACTGCTGTGCTGTGAGCTCAGCACAGCTCACAGCATTCCCAGCACCAGCACTTGGTTTATCCCTTTCCAAAACATCCCCTGCCCCTGCTGCCCTGCCCATCTCCTCCATGTTACCTGGCTGCAGCCTTGAACCTCTCCAAGAACTGAAGCCTCAAACTCTCATGGCCTGGAAGGTCGATCAAGGTCACACTGGTGCTCTGGGAACAGAAACAGCGTGTTACCCCCACCTAATCTGGGGGTGCCTGTGGTCACAGACTGGGGAAAAAAACAAATTCGTGTCCTGCAAACCCCTGACATAGAATGTAAACCCACAGCCTCTAAACCAAGTTACCTACCCACACACGGCAAATCTCCCTAAATACACCAAACTTTGCTGGGTATAACACAGAAGTGCCTTCACAAGAGACTTTTCTTTTTTCACCTGAAAGCTGCAAATGTTTCCCTTCCCACAATCTGGCGGCCAAAGCCAGGGCGTGAAAGAGAAGGAATGGCTGAACCAGGGCCACATCACTGCTCTCCAGATAAGGCTCCTTGTTCTCCAGAGTGGAGACCCTTCCTGCCCACTGCTCCTTGTCTGTGATTAAAAAAAAAAAAGAAATGCCTTGCAGCATTCCACTGCCTCTCCCCCTCCAAATGCCTGTCTGCTCAATCTTAGAGACACAAAAATTTTAAAAAAGCATCCCTCACCAAGTTTTTAACCTTATTATCACCACTCTCACTAAAGATTGACAAGGAGAAGCTACACAAACACCCTCTACTTTCACAACTCCCTAGCAGTTAAGGTGCACCCAGCATGAAAAAGAGACTTTTGCAGAATGAAAGAATTGCCATAAGCTGAAAATAACAAGGTCTGTGGCAGCCCAGGACCTAAAAGTAACAAAATCCTTTCTGAGACCACATAAATTGCAGTTGGAGACTCTGATTAAGCCTGATGAAGCTTTTAATTTCACGTTTTTGGGGGAGAACCAGAAATTACTACCAAAATAAAGCAACCATGACTGAACAATGCCCCTCACAAATCTCCCTTGTGCTGCCCCCACAGCCAGAAAGGTTTCACTGATGAGCAAAGTAGAAAGAACCTGCCCTAAATCCCAGGATTTCCCTACTTTCTCCACGTGCACTGCCTGGAAAAATCCTGTCCTGTAGCCAGGGCAAACTGGGGACTGAGCAGCAGAGAAAGATCAACCCAGGTTTGGCCAGGGAGCAGGAAAAGGCAGCAGCAGCCCCAGTCAATTCCAGCCCCAGCTGTGCACTCACCTTGTCCCGGCTGACCTGGTACGTGGCTGAGCTGTCAGTGATCGAGGTCTGGGTGTCCCGGTATCTGCCCGACAGCAGCTGTGGGGAACAGGTAGTTCTCACAAAAAGGAGCCTGAAAGGCTTCAAAAACACTCCAAACAGTGTTCAGTCTTTGAATCACCAGCATCACCTTTAACCTGCTCAGAAACTGGGATGGTCCAGAAGGGGTAAAGGGTTCCAGGGATCTGATCTCGACTGACATGAAGGAAATTACTGTAGGGGTCATTTTCCCCAGTTAATTAAAAACTATGCTCCTTGTATTTTCAGACTTAACAGAATGTCCTGAGCTGGAAGGGACCCACAGGGTCCAGCTCCTGGCCCTGCACAGACACTCCAACAATCCCACCATGTCCCTAAGAGTGTTGTCCTTGAGCTCTGTCAGCCTTGGGGCTGTGCCCACTGCCCTGGGGAGACTGTTCAGTGCCCAACCACCCTCTGGGGGAAAAGCCTTTCCCTGATATCCAATCTAACCTCCCCGACACAGCTCCAGCTGTTCCCTCGGGTCCTGTCCCTGCTCACGCCGAGCACAGATGGGAGCTGCCCCTCGGGGGGAAGCTGCAGACTGAAATGAGTTCAAATACTCAAAAACCTTTAGCTATGACAAATTTAAACCAAAAGACCCTTTCTTTTGACACTCCTTGGTAGAAAAAACGCGGTCTCCATCCCTCTTTACAGCTCTGAAACCACCTTTTTGAAGGTCTCAGTAAGAGAACAAAACCCGAACTCAAGAGAGCGCCTTCCCCTCCGCCCGCGAGATGCCAGAGCCGGGCAGCACCCTCCCCGCTCACCCGCGCGAAGAGCAGTGTCTTCCCCGCATCGCAGAGGCCCAGCAGCAGCACGGCCTTCCTGCTGCTCCTCCTGCCCTGCACGAACCGCCAGATCACTGCGGGAGAGAGGAGGCGGAGGAGGAGGATGAGGAAAAGGGGATGCCCGATCCTGCGTCTAGCGGCACCGGCGCCCCCTCAGCGAAGGCGGCAGGCCCTAGGGCGGAGGAAATAGAGGTTCACGCAGCTTACGGAAGGTGACGGCGACGGCGATGAGCGCGATGACCACGGAGAGCGCGGCAGGGCCGCTCAGCTCCCGCCGCAGCGCCGCCAGGTCCGGCTCCAGCCCGCCCGCCATGGCCGCACACGTGGCCGTCACAATACTTCCGCTTCCGTCCCCGCCGCAGGGAGGAAGGGTGGGTGCGGGGTTCATGGGAGTTGTAGTTTCCGCGCGGAACCCTGAGAGACTGAGACTCACCGGGGGACCGAGGTTGTTGAGCTCGTAAAAACATGGAATGATGGAATGGTTGGGGTGGGAAAAGCCCTTCAAGGCCATTGAGTCCAATCGCTCCCCCAGCACTGCCAAAGTCACCACTCACCCATGTCCCCAAGTGCCACATCCACAAGGCTTTTAAATCGCCCCAGGGATGGTGACTCCACCACTGCCCTGGGCAGCTGTGCCAGGGCACCCCTTTCCAGGAAGGAATCTTCCCTTATTTCCAACCTGAGCTTCCCCTGGCATAGCTGGAGGCTGTTCCCTCTCCTCCTGTCCCTTGTTCCCTGGGAGCAGAGCCCAAGCCTGCCCCCCCGCTCCAGTTCCCCCCTCCTGTCAGGGAGTTGCAGAGCCAGAAGGTCCCCCCTGTTATAGTCAAATGACCAGATATAAATTTTTTCTTTTAAATATATTGTAGAAATTTATTGAAGGCAAATAAGCAAAACAGCGCGCTGGAAGACCCGGGGAAACTCCTGTTCCGCCAACGGTCTTCCCGCCAAAAACGTGTAACGATCTTTTATATGTGCCACTATTCCCTCCCCTTTAGGCGGCGCCTGGATGCCGGGTGGCAGGTCTCAGATGGAGGTGGTCCTCAGATGGCAGCGGCTGCTCTCGAAGCGGGGCGAGTGGCTCCTCCCTCGGGCCGGCTCCTCCCTCGGGCAGCTTGCTGCCACGGTTGCTCTGCCGCTCCTGGCTCGGCTGTGAGAGGCTGTGCCGGGGGCTGTGCCGCTCGGCTATGCCCCTTTTATCCATATCTTTATAGGCACATTTAAAGCTTACATTCAGAACTTGTGTAACATAGTAAGATATAGCTTTCCATAGTAACATAACATTGTGGTTTGACATTTGTAATTCAAACTAACCACTAACACTAACATTGCAAAGATAATTGGATTAGCAAATTATTTATCTTTGCCTTTATTAACTATTTCACCCCCTGAGCCTCCTTTTCTCCAGGCTGAGATCCCCCCAGCTCCCTCAGCCACTTCTGCTGCTCCAGCCCCTTCCCCAGCTCTGTTCCCTTCTCTGGACATGCTCCTCAATGTCATTCCTGAGCTGAGGGGCCCAGAACTGGACACAGCCCTGGAGGTGCCTCAGCAGTGCCAGTACAGGGGGATAATCCCTGCCCTGGGCCTGCGCCCACACTGGTTGTGACACAGCCCAGGTGCCCTTGGTACACCTGGGCTCATGTCAAGCTGCTGTCACCAGCACTCCCAGGGCCTTTCCCAGCTTTCCAACCTCTCTGCCCCAAACCTGGAGCACCGTATGGGTCTGTTGTGACCCAAGAAGGTACAGCGCTGTTTGTATCAGGCATCAGGAAGCAGATCCAGGCTTTTCACAGTGGACCAGGATGAAGAGCAACGGGAGTATGTTGAAACCAGAGAGGTTCAGAGTGGTTGTGGGATTAAGCCTGATGAAGCTTTTAATCAGGCCCTCCCTTTGAGGGCTGCCAGGCAGCGGGACAGGCTGCCCAGGAAGGTTGTTGTCTCAGGTTGGACTTGGCTCCCAGCCAAGTGCCTCTACCTTCCCCCTCCCTCTCTCTCATTTCGGACAGACCAAAAAGACTATATAAAACTAAAAGAACCCAAACCAACCAAATTCCAAGTAATATATATTAATATATTTTTTTGGAATTACATACAGTTAAGATATTATTTACAGGAAACCCCCAAAAAGGAAAAAGGAAAGGAAAAGGGGAAAAGGGAAAAAGGGAAAAAAACAGATACTTTCCTCGAGATAGCAGAGAACCCCACCAACAACCACCAGCACTATCCACTTCTCAAGGCCAACCAGGTGCACTAGGCCTCACTCCTTCACCCAGGCAGAATGACAGCAGAGAACCTTTGCTTTCAGTCCGCTGAAAGAAAGAGAATGAGAGTTTCCGCTCCCTTTTTGTTTATACCCTTGCTTACGTAAAAATCATATGGAATACTGGGAACATGGCCTTGGTTCCTTGGTTACAACCTGGTTACCAGAGAAGGCCTAGATTGAAAACCCTAGAGTCGTGGAGGTCAAGCCCTGAGCAAGCTGGTTGACTCCTGTCTTTGAGTAGGAGGTTGGACTGGAGAACCCCAGAGGTACCTTTCCACCTGAAGGATCCTCTACTGAGGTTCCTTTTATCCATGACTTTTACTTATGGGACAAAGGATTACACTTGATACAGAACACAAATGATTTCCCTTCTCTTAGGGATCTATTTCTAAGTGCAGCCATAGTGAGCTGTAGAAGCAACTTAGAGTTTTGAAGAACTAGTTAAAAGTTCCTAGTTTGAAGAACTGGTTAAAAGAGCCACTTGCCCAATGTACTTCATCCTACATAAATGTGAGGGACTACATTTCATCCTTTCCCATCACACCCTACGTTTCTGTCATCCAAGGGGATCTTCAGTCAGGCTGGTGGACTTCTCACCACACATACCATATGCATCCAGAAATCATCAAAATATTCATTCCCTCAAGGCCAGGAGCTCTCAGCATCTCTGTGCCCTCAGCAACTCCTCTGTGTCTGCCATGACAACAGGGCTGGAATCTGCTGGATGACCCCAAGCTGCTCCTCTGAAACAGAGAGCCTCAGCAGATCAGTTTTTTTTTTTTCACCGTGGATCAGAGTCAGATTAAAGAACCCTACATGTTTGTTTTCATGTCAGCAGCACATCGAACAGACTTCCAAAACACACACATTTCTGAGTAAGTTCTAGACTTTTTCCAGAAAGGAATCCTAAGCCTGCACTGTCCCTGTCAATACATTTAGATGTTTTAAGAATCCTGCCAGGTGGAAGTGACTCAGACCCAGCCAGCTGAGATATGAGACAGAGTAGTTCTATTCACACCTCCCATCTTACAAACACTGTATTATTTTGATTTGGGTTTGTTTGTTTGTTTGTTTGTTTGTTTTTCCATTCTCCAGCTTTCAGCTTCCCTGACAAACACTTTCCTTCTTCCTGTGCCCCAGCCACACCGGGGAACTGTAATCTGCTGGGGAGATAATGGGATAACCTGGGCAAAGTGAAAGCACAAAAGAGAGCACAAAACAACTGTTAATTGGGCTCTAAGACATATTTAATCCATTTTGCTTTAGCAAATGGTGAAAGACATTTCTCTAATGAGCAGCAACAGATGTAAGTGACACATTGGTATCTGTCCTGCAGCAAGAGGTGCTGAGGAAGGAATAGGTTTAAGGACCACTTAAAAAAATCTCAGGATGCCTGTTTAGATTTGAGATTTTATTTTTTTGCTGTGATGGCAGCAGAGAACTGTAATGTCTCAAGGAGCCACTTTAAGAGTGATGAGGGAGGGCAGACAAAGCAGTGAAGGCAGAGGGCCCTCAGTGTTTGGTGCTGAGGGCACAAGAGGAGTCATAAATTGAGGTTTTCTCCCCCTCCAGTGAGGAATCCTTCCCATCTCACTACTTGTCCTCAAGGAAGGTGCACACCTGGAGAAGATCTGGAAAAAGAAAGGACAAGGAGAAATTCAGATAGTGCCTTTAAACACTCTGGCCCCAGCAGCACACATCTAGCCGTGCCAACAATGTCATTGCTTGGAAATTCATGGTGTGCCACCAAAGAAAGGGCAGATCACTCTGAGCCTGCACTGATGGGTCCAGGTGGGTTCTTTGTGCCATTTCTCAACTGTGTATTTTCTGAAGGTGAGGAAAAATCTTTTATTCACGTTGCTGCCAGAGTAGCAGATTTTAAGTCTGTTCTCAGTTCACCCAAGGGCCTTGGAGAAAAGCATAGTAGCATCCTCCTGAGTTATCCTCATTTTGCTTAAAAGACATTAAACAGACAGTCCCAGAAGAAACTGCCTGTGCCTGGGAGCTAAGAACTGCAATTCAGGGAATTGCCCTTGGGCTGTTCCAGTTACCTGACGGATTGCAGGTGTTGAGGCTGGCAAGTGAAGCATAGTATTGATCTCCGAGGAACTCCTTGTACGTTATTCCATCACGGAGCTTCACCAGGCACTTGGTCAAGTCTTTAAACAGAAGATCCTTGGTTTCATATGCAAACATATTGAAATCCTTATTCTTGATTCCTTTTGCTCCAAACAGGCTCTAAAATAAAGGCACAAAGAGGAGAGAAGTAGAAAGCTGGCAAGATTCAGCTCATGCAAGCCTAACTCTTGGTCCTGGTTCTTCACCATCATCCTGGGGAGCCCCAAGCCAGGCTGCAGAAATTCAGTGGTGTATTTTCTGTCCATGTGCTTAGAGGAGGGATCTGTCACTAGTGGGCACATTTTTCCCCCCATTTTAACATCCAGAGCCCATCAGCAGGTGCTGCCAGCAGGTCCCGTGCCTTAGCTGTGAGGCGGGAGGAAAAGGAACTGACTTCCCAAGGGCCTCTCAAGCAGAGCCTGGATGGGGCAAATATAATGTTTGCAGTGACAAACAGAGATGGTTTAACCCACTTATGTTGGCCCCAGTGGCTGGAGGACTGTGTGTGTGCAGGGGGCTGCTGTAGGGGCTGAGCCTGATCAAGCTGTGACAAAGACCAGGCACTCCAGAGGAGTTTCTGAAACACACCAGCAAGAGCAGAGCCAGGAAAGGAGGTGATAAACTCATGTCACACAAGTATAGTGTGACAGCAGCAGCTACTATGATCCAGCTGTTCCCTAAAGGTGTATTTGCTAAGGTGGCAGAGGAGAAAAAGCAGTTTGGGAGGGATGGAGGAAGAGCAAGGATAAGGGACCAGGCTGTCTCCCCATACCAGGTAAAATCTTCCATGTTACTCTGACTTGGGGAAAATCAGAGCATAAGGGCAACCCCAGGGCATTTCTCCCACTCTCAGCACTACAAACCTCTTGTCTCTCCAGCATCTCACGGACTTGTTTTGCTTTCTCAGGGCGTGTCACCACAGCGTGGGTGGGAACTTTGGCCAGGTTGCACCTCCTGTAGTCCATGGCATTTGCCCGTTGCCCGTCAGTGCACAGCAACTCAAATTGGTCCATTTTCAGATCTTTGGCCCAGCTTTCTTTACTTTTGCCTTTAAAGAGAAAGGGTTTGGAGATTCAGAGGTTTTGTGTAGGAGAACATCAACCCCACAACACCTGAGCAATAAGGCAGAAGGGGAAAGCAGCCCTGATATGAGCTGTGCAGTAACCACGTACCATCAGTGTTCTCCTCAACGATGGAATGCTTAATAAAGGCCACATCCCCCTGCTCCACCAGACACCTGGGAAGTAGAAAGAGAGGCCAGTGATGTGGGTGCTTGAGTCCTGGCCCTTTTCCACAGATTTGATTTAGACCTGTGTCTTATTTTGTACAATTAATCTCTGAGGACAGCCAGGTCTAGGAGCTCTGCTGTGAGTATTTTAAAAGTATCTGAAGCATTTTATACTCCTTATTCATATTAAAAGTGGAGCACTGCTGCCATTGTAGGAGACCTTGTGTCTCTCCCAGTTTGCCTGGGGCATCAGGACATTTACAGAATTTACAGATTTTTGCACCATTTTTCGGGAAGCAAAGACAAAACATGTCTCATATGTATAATATTACAGTCGTGGTGGAACGGAGAAAAAGAGGAGGTCAGCAAATTAGTGTCAACATGTGGCTGTGCTCCAGCTGTGATCCACCCATAACGTCTGGGATTAGCCAGAGGCAGCCTGAGTGTTCCCAGCACTCACCGTAAAGCTCCAGTGTATCCATAGTACTGCTCGTGGCTGCTGGCAACACACTTCTCTGGTGGAACCCCCCCCGAACCCTTGCAGAGCTGGCAGAGGCGGGAGGTGGGAGGAGATCCGGGAGCACAGCCCTGGCTGAAGTATTCATCTGAAGGCAGGAATAGAGAAAATTCACTTGCCCTGCACTGGAAAGTTAAATTTTGTTTTAATAATCTGAGTTAAATGCCTGAGTTTCTGTCACTGGTTACTGGGAGATGGAAATAGATTGGGAGAAGGAGTATGACTCAGTGGGCAGCAAATCACATGCATCTGGTTTTCACTGTGAAACTTATGTCTTGTTATTATTGATAATTTTTGTATTGTTGCCCAGAGAAGCTGTGGCTGCCTCATCCCTGAAAGTGTTCAAGGCCAGATTGGACAGGGCTTGGAGCAACCTGGGCTAGTGGAAGGTGTCCCTGCCCATGGCAGGGTGTGGAACTGGATGGTCTTTAAGGTCCCTTCCAACCCAAACCATTCTGTGATTCTACAAGGAAGCAGGGCCTAAGGCTTAAGTGCAATTGCTGTAAAAAGAAGAATGTTTTTCCTGCAAATCTTTCCCAGCTCACACAGAGCCAGCCCAAGCCTGCACGGTCTTTTTGGGTTGGCAGAGCTGCACTTGGCAGCAATGCCAGAGGTCTGGGGGGACAAGGGACAGTGGGAAAGGCAGGCAGGAGGATGGAGAGGTTGAGAATAAAACTTATTAACATAAATATCTTCTTTTAGTTAGAGATTTCTATTTAATAATTCTGTTTACTTTGCCTTAGTCGATAATATTTCCAAATTATTTTTGTTGGACCATAATTCTCAGTGAATTCTCAGGCAGTCAGATCAGTCCCTTTAAGTGTCTTGAAAGCAGATCAGCCTTCTTCCCTTATTCTCAGCTCTCCTCCTCCCTCCTGAGTTTCATCCTTTACCCACATATGCACAAGTACCAGGGCAGCCCATATTCCATTCTTGAGAATACCTCTTGATTGGGCTGCTGCAAAGGGAAGGGGAGAGATGTGAAAAGAAAGCAAAGGCCCCCAAGGCAGCTGATGTGCTGTATCTTACTCTGGAGCAGCCACCAAGAGCCTAAAATTTTGCTCAGTGAAACCTTAACAGAGCCTTCCCCATTTCCCACCTCCAAGCGGGAATCCTTGAGGCACGAGAAACTTTGAAGACCAGATGAAGGAAGGGAAAACATTTTTTTGAGCAGATTCCCAGCTGGAGGAAATGAGTGCCAAACTGGACTTACCGAAGTTGCAGTTCCCTGTCCTGTTGTGAATCAGGCCCATTGGGATGTTCCAGCCGGCGGTTCTCCCCACGGCGGTGTGGCATGACTTCTTACCCTGCAGGTTGTTCCAGGTGATATCTCTGTCAGATTTCTTCACAACAGCCACAGCAAAGTAGGTTGCTTTCAGAGGATAAAGTAGATGAGAATGAAGGCCTGACCCAAGGATCCCACTGTGATCCTTAAGGAGGCTTCTCTTGGGAAAGAACATCTATGAACAGTGCAGTAGAAATACTTTGCACTTATAATTATTGGCCAGGCAGCAACAATGGAAGTGTTTGTGGATGTGATGCATGTACTTCCACCATGCTCCTGAGAAATTATTATCCCTGATATTTCCCTGCCCTTGAAACTCTAATACTTGGGTATGTCAGAAGGCTGCAGCAAGACATACCTGAGGATTTCTTATCCCCTCCTGATTTCTTGTTTTCTCCTTAGCAAAGGACAAAAACCTTCTCTCCTCTCCTAGAAAGACTAATTCCCTAAAGCTACAGCCCAGACCCTCTTTCCCTGTTCAAGCCCTGACGCTGCTGTGGTGTGACCACCTAAATCTCTTCTGTTAGTTTTTGCTTTGGCTTAGTATCTCCTTGCAGGCCCAGACTGTTAAACCTATTTCCCAAAATTTTAATATCTGCATTGGACACTATGGCTCTTTGTGTGGAGAGCCATTTGTTCCCCACTCATGACTGCATATATTTTACTACTTATATCTCTCAGGACTGTTTTTTGTCCTCCTGTTGGCAGTAATTACCTGGTTCTTCTTCCGATTCGCTGCAGTGGTTCTCTGTGGGAGAGAAAAAGAAGAAAATATTAAAGAAAAGAGATCTCAAACCTCAAAAAAGGTTCAAGCTCACTAATTTCTAGAGAAATTTCATTCTAGAAGTGACTTTTTCAGGAACACCTTGTGCATTAAAAGAACAAAGCATGGCCTCCAGCAGCTTCTCTGAGTTAAAACAACTAGTTTTACTGAGACCAGTGTTAAAGGGTAGGGAATGGATGTGAACAGGATTAAAACAAAGAAGAGAGGAGTTGGTTGGAGGTTGCCATGTTCCCGACTATCCATGCCTGCTCTCCCCCCACCTAACGGAAAGACGAGACGAGCGCTGAGCAGAGTTGCCTCATGTTCTTTCTGCAGGATGCAGATCTGAGGCTGTGTTCTAGATTCCAGAATAAACCCAGCGCTTTGGCACCAGCCCATTCCCCACCACCTGGGCCCTGAGGGACAGAAGGGGCTGTGCTTACCCTCATAGCTCTCTGCCACCACTGGCACCAAGCCACACATGCCGGCAGTGTAGACAAAGCCTCCATCCAGGCTGATGGCATCGGCTTCACCTTTCTGCAATGGTAATGGAACACTGTGTGTCCCCAGGCCAGGGCTCCTCAAAGATCAGGTTGTTAAAGAAGCAGCTGGAGAGTTTACAGTGAGAAGAAAAGGTGGGGGAAAAAGCACCATACCATGATCTTCATGATGCATTCCTTGGTGTCTTCTGCCACGATGCATTCCACCTCCCCGTTGCTCATCACGCTCCAGACATCACACTTCTTCTTCTCATCCCTGCCTATTGCACACCACTGGGTCTTGTTTCCTCTGCGGCTGGGGGTCAGGCGGTCTGGAAAGCCAAGGGAAAACCAGGATAAGCCCAGAGCCCTGCAAAGCAAACGGGCCCCTTCCTGGGTGTGTGAGACTCAGCCACAAAACCACCTGTACACACTGACCTGCTGCTGCTCGGGGCAAGATGTTCCTGTTTAATGAGCTGGCATGAGTAGAAAGGGTGATTTGTAAGCTCAAGGATAATCAAAAATTAACTTACAGATCAGAAAGGCAAATTTCTGAATAACACAGGCCATTCAGGCATATTTCTGTTAGCTAAAACACTATGGCCACTAAACCTCCATGTGTTAATAATACTTGGTATTGCTGCCTATAATATATCTCACATTTCTCCACTCCTCACAGCCCAGACAAAGACCACGAGACTAAGACCAGACCGAGCGGGGAAATTACAACCACCATATGCTTCTGTGGAACAACCTTTGAATAATCTTCTCTGTTGTTATGTGAAGTCCATAAATGCCACTTCACAGACGTGAAGTACTTTAAATTGTACTGTACATTCTAAGCGGGTTTTGGAGATCACTTGTGGGATGTTTGACTTTCAGAAAGCCTTCAGTAAATGCTTGATGAGTTTGGTGGAAATAATGGACACTGTAAATGCTTGATGAGTTTGGTGGAAATAAAAGACACTGTTTCCCTTGAGTGTCCAGTGCTGAAGCTGGTGTCCCAGGATGTTCCTTCTTTATGCATCCAGCAATGGCTTTTCTGAGCAGCAGTTTTGGCCACGCCCAATCACTACCACCAACTGAATAAGTGGTGTGTGGTGTGTAATGTGTGCAAATTTTCTGTCTTTGTCAGAGTGGTGATGATGTTATTTTGGGTTTGGACTCAACAAATTCCTTTTGTAAGTGATGTTTGTGAATATTATGTGATTACAGGGGAAATATTTTTACAGACGATAAATCTGTGTGTGAAAAAAAATCGCGTTCCTTTTGCCTAGACATATTTGCCAATGCCAACATTTCCACACACTAACATGACTTTGGTGTTTCATGTCCTGCCTACCTTTCTGAAGGCTCTGGATGGCACTGTAATACTCAAAGCCCAGGTAGAGCTGGGCATCCATCAGCGATGGGATCTGCTTCAGCTGAACTGCAGAGTCTTTGAAAAGCAAGTCTTTGAGGGCTGGGTCCTTCTTGCCGGGTGGCCCAAAGAGGTGGAAGGTACTGGTTGTGCCCACACCAAATTTTTCCTGCCACAGGGGAAAAATAATCGGCAAATGACCGTAACCAAAACTCTTGGAAAGCTGGAGAGAGCAACCAAAGCCAGAGGACAGAAGAGAGGATGCTGTGGGAAGGAAATGAGGGCTCAGTGATACCTGTGCTTTGGAGAGGAAGTTCCAGATGTCATTGACCTTGTTGTCATCTCGAGCCACCACAGCGTGGGCAGGAACCCTGGCCCAGTGACAGGCTTTGTAGTTGTCCACAGGCTGGCGGGTGCCATCCAGACACAGAAGCTCATACTCCTCCTTCTCATTTGGGGCATTTTCTGGAGGAATGGAGGAGCCACGAGTTGCATCACCATGAAAATAGACCAAAAAACCAAAAAAGCCTGTCTGGGGAAGCTTTGTAATTAATTTATTTCTACTGGAGCACAGGGGAAACTTCTTTGCAGGAGGTGGGTTGCGATGGGACTGGGGTCATGGTGGCTGTAGAGAAGCAATGCCTGGGGAGGAGAGATCATCTCTGCCTTTGTCATGACTAACCCAACAGTAAGAGGGTTTATGTGCAAATGGATACAAATAGGTTTACAAAACCATACAAATGGATTGAACAGATCAGGAACTGCACATGTTCTGTGAAGACCATTAGGTAACTAATGTCAGGGTTGTAAAAAAAGCCCAGGACCGATGTCACAAGGTTACAGGAGAATTCAGGTGGGAAGGGACCTCTGAAGATCTCTGATCCAAACCCCTGCTCCAGGCAGGGGCAGACCAGGTTATTCCAGGTGGATCTTCAAACCCTTCAAAGATGGAGAGTGCACAGCTGTCCTTGGAAACCTGTCCCATTATTTCCTTGTCCTCAAGGGGAAAAAATTTCCCGTTGTATCTGGTCTCTAGGCTGACCAAGCCTCCCCCACAGAGCATCTCCTCACAGAATAGTTGTCCCTGACCCATGACAACCTTGGTGACCCTCCACTGAGCTCACTGCAGGTCTTGGGCATGCAAGGCCATCCTCCATCTCCAAGAAGTGCAGTGTCAGTGAACTCGGGCTGTGGGCTGAATTCCTTCCAAAATCCCTCCCGGAGGGATGGGTGACCTGCTCAGTTGCTCACGTTACAGCTGGCTCTGAGATATGGCACCAAACAGGTTTTCCATCTACGAAGAAGAACCTCAGAGAAGAAAAAGTGGACCCACCATAATCCTGTTGCTCAATAACAAGGATGGATTAGTCCAGAATGTGCAAAACATGTTTTAAGAGATGAAGAAGAGGTTTTGGGCTAACATGGGGAGGAATGAAAGCTGCACAGTGGAGACGAATTACAGGATGGAGTGGCAGCAAGAGGTTGGACTAGAAAGAGGAGAAACAAGAGATCTTGCAGGCTTACCTTGAACAGTTGTGTGTTTCACAAAAGCCACCTCTCCTTTTCCTTCTTTCAGACAGCTGCAGGGGGGAGGAACAAAAGAGAACTTAAAAAAATAGACACTGTAGTTTTCTATCTCCTGTTTCAGCAAATTATTTTTGGCACAAACTGCAGCCATAGAGAAGCAGTCTTCCACCAAAAAAGCTCTGCTGGCAGGGAAGAATTGGTAATGGCAGAGAAATAATTCAGTCTTCTCAGGACCCCTGATTACAGCACAGCCCTCCCTGCTTTAATGAGGACTTCCATGTGTTGGGGCTAGAATATTTCCCCAAAGGACAAATAACTTTCACTCACTGAAAAGCTCCGGAATATCCAGAATAAGGTCCTGTGCGGGACATTTTGGTTTTGGAGTCCCCCTTACACTGACGGTACAGTTTGGGTTCAGTGGTGACACCGGGAACACAGCTGGCAGAGAAAAAATTGGCCACGGCTGTGGGTAAGAAAGGAGCAATAGTGAGTTAGAAATTCACTTTTAGAAGGATGGGAAGGGAGGGTATGCACAAGGAATGCCAGTGCCCTGTAAGCCACGTCTGGATCCCCACAGAAGATTGGACGACATCCCCTTCACTGTAACACCACCCCTGGTTTGACTCCCACCGTTGATCCGCCCCTCCCACCTCACCTTGCTCAATGGAGCCTGAGTCTTTGCCATCCCACTCGATGTCCCCCCGGTGGGTGAGAATCCCAATTGGGATGTTCCAGCCAGCAGATCTGCCCAGGCCTGTGTGGCAGGAGGTCTTTCCCCTCAATTCATTTATTGTGAAGTCTGTTCCCTTCTTCACAACAGCCACAGCATAGTAGCTGGTAGTGGAGCCTGCAGTGCAGGAAAAAGCAATAAAGCGACGAGAAAACAGGACTTGGGGACACTTCAAATCCTGCTAAACCCCCTTTTCCAGGGAACAGAGTGTTGCATTTCCATATAACTAGCAATTTGTTTGAATGGTTGTGGTTTTCTCATTTTCTTAGGGGTGAGCTACACTGCCAATATTGAAGCAATGCTGTGCATTTCAACTAATAGAGAGTGACCTGAAAATACGGCCACACTCAACATGCTTTGCCAAAGGACAGACATCAGACATGCTATAGTTTCGTAAGCAGCTTCAACAAGTCTTTTTGGCAAATCTCCCCTCAAATCTCTTCTCAAATGCTGTTGCCCACTGAAGCATATATATAAGCCTTATGAGACTGAAACTCCACGTTTAGTCTTTAAAATTATACCTAGTCCATCACATGCTGTGTATGGATACAGTGGCTGAGTTTTAGGGATGGTACAGATCTCAGCCTTTCATTTAATATCTGTTTTTCTTAGCTGCCATGTTGAGAACGACTCTGCCATGTTGTTTTGATCCTGAATATTGTGTACAAACAAGCTGAACTCCAGGGCAGAGATCAAAACAGACTGGGAGCTTTGAATGTGGTGAGGAAATAGCATGTTTGGCTCCCAGGAGAAAGATGGGAGAAATGAAGGATAGTACACTGAGTAGGAATGGAGACGTGGATCTAACTCCTATCAGAAGGGATTGTGCAGAGCACTTTTTATGCTTCTCTTTTTTTTTCTGGGTATTGCCTGCACTTCTTGCTTCCGTGATCTCAACTGGGTGTTCCTCCCCAAACACTTGTAATACTGTTGCCTCTTCAACGATTTTTTTGGTCTTGCTCACTGAATAGGGGGGTACACAGCTTATCTGTGCCATCTAGCTCCATGTTTTACCCTCACAGTTCAAGGCCACTGAAAGCAGAAGATCTCTGGAACCAGCATAATTTTAATGCCGTGCTTCAGGAGGACCATGATTTCTGCTCATGGTGCTCTCCATCCCTTCATGGGATCAGAGACTATCACTGCAGCAAATGACAGAAATGGGGCACTGGCTTTGCTCCTTTCCACTGCAGTGACACTGTGGCCATGGGTGATGATTCACATTTTGCTGAACTGCCTACCCTTCCCCTCTGAGATCTGTAAGCCAGGGGCAATATTTTGGACCCCCAACCGAAATAATGTGGGAGCTCTGCGTGGGAAGGATGGCCTTTGCATTCTCAGTTTGTTACCACCACTTGGCTTAAAAACATTGCATGAAAATGTACCTTCACTGTGTTCATAGACCTCAGCAGCAATGGGCTTCAGCTTGTAGGGGGCAAGGCCTGCCTCAAAAACTTGACCTCCATCCAAGCTAATGGCATCTGCTTCGTTATTCTAAATAACAAAGAGATTTCATCAATTAACCAAGAGCAGGAAAAACACTTCCCAGAGTCTCACCTGCATCCTTGTGGATGACTCCTTTTCTACAGGGGGATCACAGGTAACAACCAGTGACTGAAATAAGACTCCATCTCTGGGTGTAACAGGCTGCTGAAACATCCTCAGTGTCCAGCACAGGTGTTTGCAGCCCACTCACCGAGATGGCTTTTATACAGTCGAGGTATGTTGCTTTCTGCAGGCAACTCAATGCAAAGTTGTCTTGTTGCATGTGGTCCCTCAGGATATTGCATTTGTTCTCTTCTGCTGAGGATATTGTGCACCACTTGATGTTTGTCTTCGGGGGAGCAGCAAAACACAGAGCTGTAGGAAGAACAAGAAATAAGTAGTCTGAGAGAGGTGTAAAGGCGCTGATTGGAGAGAAACAGCATCTCTATGAGTACAAGGTTTATGGTTCCCTGCTGTCACGGCCTTGGGTGATGGTGAGGTGTAGGATTTCCCTTGCACACCTTCTAAGTCATGCAGGAAGGTCCTTTCTTTCTTCCTTGCCTTATGTGTGCACTATCAGGAATGTCTGAGAGGATCATTCCTGTCCCTGGACAATTGTCATTTAAATAGCCTGGGATTGCAGCAACATCTGCTTGATGAGAACAAATCCACACACTTCAGTAGAAGAAATTAAGCTTAAGCCTTTGCAAACATGGAGAGCAAAGGCAGACACTGAAACAGTGCTTTTGCAAATAACCCCAGAGGGAGAGCAGCTCTGACCTGGCCAGGCTGTGTGCAGAACACTGCCACTCTCACCCCCTAGGCAGCTGGATGATCTGATATATTTACCTGCCTCTTTATATTTCACCTCCCCCACTGCATCCACAAACAGAGATGCCACAGCACCACCACAGTCCTTCTACAAGTCCCCCAAACAGTAAATGCAGTTGAGTGGCTATTCTGGGAGAGCTGAGCACAGCAAAGACCTCAGGTGGACACAGACTCACACCTTCTCCAGCAACCTGAATGCCAGAAATGCTAGAAACTTGTAGTTCAAGGATGTGGCCAGACTGTGGTGACCTTTAACTCTGCCCTTTCCCAGCAGGGCTGTGCAGATCAAGAGATTCGAAGAGCATAGCGCACTCCCTCCAAACCCCCGATGGCACATTTCATTCAAACATCTCAGATTAACCCCTGTCCTTTCCCTTTTATCTTTCACCTCTGAAATTTCCTCCCTGTACTTGATTTTTGAGCCATAACCCTGCCAGCAGATGGCTCCCCTCCTCCCAGTGAAGGTGCTGAATTTGGTCACCAATCCTTAACCTTAATTCCTGCTGCCATCATTTATGTTTTTCAAGTCTTGGCCATGGTCACCTTAATCTAATGCTGGCAACCATCCTGCCCAGGGCAGAGGCTGGATGGGGACCTCCTGAGGGAGTCAGCCCAGCTGGGCTGGTGACATTGGGAGAGTAACGGGAGCCTGAGTACCTTAGCCACTGTTTCAGGGCTCCTGAGCCACCTCTTGGCTCCTTCCATTCAGGGAAGGACGAGGGTCCATTAAAAAACAACCTTGTGTGCTACTACTCAGAAAAGGCACTCAAGGACTTTCCAGTGCCAGTGGCACAGGGAGCAATTTCCACCAGAGGACATTGATCCCCACCACACTTTACAGGGGGTCAGAAGAGACCTGCTGCCTACTCCCAGAAGGAGATCCCGCTTTCCTTTTCCAGGTCAGGTGTAGACAGCAGCAACCTCCTTGCTGTGGCTACCTGCACACTGCCTGCTAGAGCTGTGAGCAGAAAGAGAAGACAGAATCACTCCAAGCAGAGTCAGCCCTGCAGCAGCACAATTTTGGCATAAAACACACAGGAACCAAAGAAAAGCGCAGCCACAGCAGAAGGACAGAGTCCCGTAGGAGCAGAGGGGAAAGCACAGGGATTCTTTCATTATTTAAGCTCAATTTTAGTGTCACTATCTTCAGGTTTAACCCAGCACACATGCAGCCTTGGCGGGTCTTGCAGTATTTTCTCCCCCATGGCTGAGCCCGTGCTCCTCTCCCGGCACAGCAGTTGGCTGGAGGAGGATTTTTCCCTTCACCCTGTGACAGCAGGAGTGCGGAGCCTCTCCCGAGGAGTCCCCTCCGTGGTGGTGGGTGTCGATCATCCTTCCTCCTTGCCTGGCAGCTCGCTGCGGGGAGCTGCAACCCTCCCTACAGCCCCCACGGCCTGCCCGAGGAGAAACCTGCTGTCACTAACACTCAAAATACCATCCTCGTTGACAGATCCACAGCATCCAAAGCAAACACTGCTTTATGTCCTGGCTTTTATCTAACAGCTGCCTGGGTCTGACATGTGCTGCAACTCTAAAGAAGCCTTGTCTAGGGGGAAGCCCGAGTCCGAGATGATTTTGACTTCCTTTCCCCAAGCACTGCTTTCGGCAGACACTTACCCACTATCCCGAAGGACAGCACGGTGGAGAGTATGAGTTTCATACTTGAGCAGGAAGTCGGGTGCTGAGGAGGGGGAGCAGCAGCCTTGGTCACAGACCTCTAAGTCTGTGATGGCTCTGGAACTGCTTTCTCCCTCTTTTATAGAGAAACAGCCTTGGCTGTGTTTGCAGAAACAATGACCTAACACTGTTTGTCCTTCCTTGTTTCTCAATAGCTCCTAAATCTCCCCCCTCCCGAGATCAGCCCATTTTTAGGAAGCCTTTCACTTTGGCACTGAACCCTTCCGTTGGCAGGATTCAGAGCAGGGAAAGGCGCTTTGCATTTTACAAGGGGCTTCAGATGGAAAATTCCCAAGTTGTGACATTTGAATTCCCCTCAGGGCTGAAACACTGCAGGAGGGGCTATTTCCTTTGTGTTGCCCACCCCCTGCCTTGCCCAGAACTAATCCCAGAAAGTCCCTGCTGGATCCAGCCCTGGGTTTTGTGACTTTGCCAGTAACTGCTGCTGTGGTGTCCACGGCCCTTTGGCTCAAAGCACCGAGTGCCTTCCTGCTCTCTTGCATGCTCTTGGCAATGGCAGAGGAGTTGAAAGGCATGATTCTGGGTCCTTGCACGGGCAAAGAAAGCCAATGGCAGTGACCTGCACAGTGACATACTGTCAGCTCGTTAAGTGCCCTGCAGCCAGAAGGAAGCATCACACTGCACCTTTGGTAAATTTTTGGGATGAACCAGGGAAGAAATGCTGAGATCAGGAGTCACCCCTCTCCCCCTTCCTCTGCAAACCCTCTCCATCCAATTGTGTCGCTCCTGACCTGTCCCCCTGCAGCCAGGACCACTGAGGCATGGCTTGGCTGATGAAGGTGCTGCTGTCCCAGCTTCAGTGTCCCCATCTTTGCTGCAAGGTGGAGGACCAGCTTCAGATTGACTTTGACACACAGTCTGAGAGTCCCTGGACCACATCAGCCCTCCAGACAAGTGCTAGGGCTGGTTAACCCACCGTGCCCACCAACACAAGCTACAAGAGTGCTGTTGGAGGCCCAGCTCCCAGGCTTGCTCTCAAGAGCACCAGCCTTCCTTGGAGAGAGGATCTCCTGGATCCTCCTGCACAGGTCCTTCCTCCCCCCTGGCCTTCACCCTCTTAACACGGCTGGAGGTTGACTGGAAGCACCTGGGTTATCTCTCCTTCCTCCTCCCAGCAGGCTCAGGGCAAAGGGAGCTGCAGGTGGGTGGTGGTGGCCAGAGTGGCTTCAGTGCAGGTGGGAGCCCTGTCAGGTCAGGGATATGGCTTTACAAGTTGACCCAGAAAAGGGGGCTGCTGGAGACCCTCAGGTAATGACCTCCCCCACCGTGGCACCGGGAACCTGCCCTGCCTGTGCCTGAGAGAGAGGCACTCATGGACACTGGTTATTCCACATCATCTGCAGCAGTTCTCTCAGCATGGATAGTTCCTATTTCTCATTCCTTCATCCCCTGCTTTCTTAGAAGAGCAGCACTTGTGTCCGGAGTGTCTCCAAACACACTGCGGCTGTGGGGGGGACTGACTTTCTCCCACCTCAAACCTGTCTTCCCTTTTAAGAGATCTACTGTCCATATTTACTCCAGCAAGCTGTGGCCTTCCAAGGTCATCCTCTGCTGAGACTGGCAGATGCCACCGAAATCCACCCCCAGCTTCCTGTGGGTCTCACCAATCCTTTTCTCACTCAGGGTAGCCTTAGCAACATTCCCATCTGTGAGAAGAGGCACAAGTTCTTCCATACTTCAGAAAGCTGTCCCACACATGTTCTTCCACAACTTTTTGCTGATTTGTTCCAAAATACCTCTTCTAACAGATATCCTGAGAGAGCCTAGAAATTGCAGTGACTCTGAAACATCAAAGATATCTGGGCACATAGTGGTGAAAATCTTTGGGCATCTTGACTCCACAAGCTAAGCAGTTACAGTGCTATCCAGACAGGATAGTGTATTTTTGCCACACGACAGATGAAGGGGAAAGATGAAGAAGAAAACTTGCAAAACATAAAGGACCCATTCAAACAACAGAAGAACAGTTACTGGAAGAACCCAAACTATCCTGCCGTCTGCACATGATTCCCAGACCTTTTTACATGGCCCACCCACTACTCCTGTCTGCCTTCTCAAATCTCACCTGCATCCCAGTGGACACTGTGCTGATGTGATGGGTGGTTTTCACTCCACATCTCTTCCCCTTGCTCTCCCAGACGGCATCGGGGCAAATCCAGGGGTGAAGGAACATGCAATGTTTGCCTCTTGTCCTCCAGTAACCTCCTGGATTTCCAGATGTCACTAGTCATCTGGAATGTCACCAGCCACCTACAGAGCTGCTTCTACACCTCCTTTTGGTGCTATCAAATCCTACCTTTCTCCAGGATGGATTCCATTCTCCTCCTGCTGTGCACGCGTCTTGTGGCTGCTCCTTTGGTGGCTTTGCCTCCTGTGGCCTACAGAGAAGAAACTCTTCCAACACACAGCTTGCCTTGGAAATACCCCATGGTAGAAGCACAGCAGGTTGGTGATGTGTCCTCTGGGCCACCTGAACTGAAGGCTCAGACCTTTATCTCCATAGGACCCAACAGGCCTCCAAGCTGCTCCCATCAAGGTAAGCCTTGGATGGAAAGGGCAAAGTATTCTGTATGGCCTCCAGCTGCAAAAGGCCTTCCTTTTGGAGTCCAGGAGGGACAAACTTTGTGGTGCATTCAACTTCCTCCCCTGAACATCTATCAGACAGCTGCTTTGCCAAATTTTGTGTTAGAAAATACAAGTTTATTTACATCTGACTGACTGAGATTGATCAACAAGGGCCAATTCTTAGTAACGACGGAAATTCTTTACCAGAAAGGACAGAGCTAAGTTGGTGCCCCTCAGACTTTGTCCCTCTTATCCAGAAAACACTAACCCTTCTGTAGTGCCCATCTTCATGAGATGACCTGAATTATTGTTACACATCCAAAGTTCATTGCATTGCAACACTACACATCCCCACTATTCTGTTTTCCAAAAGAGGATGCTGCTAAAAATTACATGCCTGATGAAGAAAGACATATTAACACAGCCTCTGCCCGACCACGGGGTCACTGGTGATGCATAAATGCAGCTGAACCCCAGGGAAAGAACAACACCAAGTAAAACAGAAGGTAAAATAATACCGTTTATTTCCACATCTCCCTCATTACTGCAAAGCCCACGTGTGCACTGTGGTTTGTGGTTGAGACAAGGCTGGACTGGAGTTCTGGTTGTGTGCTAAGGAGAGGACGTTTATTATAGCTGGGCTGGGATAAAGTTGGAGCTGACACAGCCGTGTGGGAGAAGGCTTCGCTTTGTCACACTGAACTCATCCTGGAGCCAGTGCAGCTGAATGGAGGCTGGAGCTGAGCTCTGATTGTGTGCATGTGGAAAACATTAACCAGGTAGAGGGAAAGCTGTGATCAAGGCATCACACCAGCACAGGCATGTCACCCAACTCTTTGGAGCAGTTATTTCTGTAAAAGTGCCCATGTCCAGCAGTAGAGGCCTTTGGAGCTAATGCTGCTATTCCCTGGTCTCACCAGGCTGCCAGTTGTGTAATGAAGACCCAGCTCTCCTTGAGAGACTGAGGAGAAAAAGCATTGAAAACAGAAGGAAAAAAGAAATAAAGGAAGCAATTGAGCTTCGAGGTGGGACAGGCTGAGGAAAGAGGGCAATATACACCCACCAGGAGTTTGGACTTCTCTAAAGAGTTGACTTCTTTCCCTCTAGAAATGTCAATTACTGTTTGTGTATGGTGGCTTGGAGAAGGCTGGAGCCTACCCATGACAAGTACGTCAGCATGGTCAACAACGAAAGCTGGGCTCAAGTTCTCGTCCTGTCCTGGTCCCACGTGTCATGTGAAGGTGAAGCCAGGAAGAGCAACCTGATGAGAATCCATTTTCCCAGATCATCTTCCCTGCTCCTCTGTCAGTAGTCCAGGGTGGGACACAAGACTGAGACTGGCATTCAACTGGCAAGGGTGCCCATCTCAAGAGATGAGAGACAGTGATGTTGGGTGGTGAATGGACTGAGAGCAACCCTGTGGAGGAGGACTCAGGGGTGGGTGACAAACTGGACACTGTGCAACTGCAGCCCAGAAAGGCAGGTGTCTCCTGGGCTGCACCCAAAGCAGTGTGGGCAGCAGCTCAGGGGAGGTGATGCTGCTCTGATGAGACCCGACGGGGAGCACCTGGGTTCAGTTCTGGGGTCCCCAGTGGAAGCCACACATGGGTCTGTTACAGCCAGTCCAGAGGAGAACCTCAAAGCTGGTCAGAGGTCTCGATGTCTCTTCTGTGGACAAAGGTTGTGTGACTGGAAAGGAGAAAGCTCCAGAGAGATTTTAGAGCCCTTTCCAGCACTTAAAGGTGCTCCAAGAGAGCTGGAGAGGGACTTTGGACAAGGCATGGAGTGAGAGGACAAGGGGGAATGGCTTCGCACTGCCAGTGGGAAGGGTTAGATGGGATATTGGGAAGAAATTGTTCCCTGTGAGGGCAGGGAGGCCCTGACACAGGTTGCCCAGAGAAGCTGTGGCTGCCCCTTCCCTGTGAGTGTCCGAGACTAGGTTGGACGAGGCTTGGAGCAACCTGGGCTGGTGGAAGGTGTCCCTCCCCATGGCAGGGGTTTGGAAAAAGATGAGATTTAAGGTCCTTTGAAAGCCAAACCATTCGTGATTCAATCTTGAGGTACTCAGGAGGAGCAGGGAAAAGTCAAGGGGCTTCTGCACAGCTGGTTTACCTGACCACTGTAGGAACCTGGGGGAAATTCCAGCCCTCTTGCCTGATGCAAAGTCTCTCCTGGAAGAGGGAGTCACTTGTGCCCTGGAGTCCAGTCAGCATGGGGCTTGCAGCAGCTGTATGCCACAGTGTGGGAGTACCAGCTCTGAGAGCATGGCCTTGGCTGACTGGGACCAACTTGGCATTCCCTGTGGCTCCCAAGACCTGACAGATACTGGAGAGCTCTAGCTGGCTTTCCAGAAACAGGCTTTCAACCTCTGTTTGGAGTTATGGGTCAATTTTGGGACTGTGCTCCAACTCCAGAGTCACTGTCCTTGGTTTTTTTTTCAGGAAATGCCACAAACCCATTTCCCTGCTGGTTAGTCGAAATACTCAGTGTCAGGTTTTGACTGTGTTGCAAAATGCTGTTTTCTACCTGGGATGAGCTGAACTGGCCACTGGAGAATTGGACCTGATGTTGTTTGAATCAATATTTGCTTCTAAGCATTACTTCTAAGTATTGCCTAATTTCTAAACCGCCCAGGGCAAACAAAGAGCTCTCTGTCAACCCTAAGCTGCTCTTCCCGGCTGGGAGCACTAAG